AGAAAAAAAAAAAAAAAAAAAAAAAAAAAAGAAGAAGAAAGAAAAAAACGTCTCAGGTTGCAGGTTAGAAAAAGAATTTAAGTGCATAGAAAAATGTCCAGAAGAAGATGCACTGACTATTACCTCAGCAAAGACTTGGAAGTAATGGTACAGGGACACTTTCTATTTTATAGACTTCAGTACTATTCAAACCTCAGGAAAAAAAAAAAGCCTATGAATTATGCTTTCACTATGTATATAATTTTCTTCTTTAGAGGCAGGATCTTTATCTGTCACCCAGGATGGAGTTCAGTGGTGCAATTACAGCTTGCTGAACTTTTTTTTTTTTTTTTTTTTTTTTAGATGGAGTCTCACTATGTTGTCTAGGCTGGAGTGTAGAGGCAAATGTCAGCTCACTGCAACCTCTGCCTCCTGGGTTCAAGCGATTTTCCTCCCTCAGCCTCTCTAGCAGCTGGGACTACAGGTGCCTGCCACCATGCCCGGCTAATTTTTGTATTTTTTGATAGAGACAGGGTTTTACCATGTTGGTCAGGCTGGTCTTGAACTCCTGACCTCATGTGATCCGCCTGCCTTGGCCTCCCACAGTGCTGGGATTACAGATGTGAGCCACTATGCCCGGCCTGTAGCTCACTGAGCCTTGAGTGATCCTCCTGCTTCAGCTTCCTAAGTAGCTAGGACTATAGGTGAGCGCCACCACATTTGGCTAATTTTTTTTTTTTTGGTAGAGATAGAGGGTCTTACAACATTGCCCAGGCTGGTCTTGAACTCCTGACTTCAAAGGCTCCTCCTGCCTCAGCTTTCCAAAACATTGGGATTACAGGTGTGAGCCACTGTACCAGCCTATAATTTTTTAAATGAACATTAATGGGCAATAATATGTGTCATCCCTCTTCACCTTCTCTGTTCACTACTTAGCAGAGAAGTACATTTTAGAGTAATAAAGGCCTTTGAACTCTTAACACCTAGGAAACTGACATTTGATGGAAAGGCAAATCCACTAAGTATAGACATAGACATTTCTGTGATTGTAACTATAGTTTAGCCTTTTTTTTAAGACAGAGTCTCTGTTTCCTAGGCTGGAGTGCAATGGCACAATCTCAGTTCACTGCAACCTCTGCTCCCTGGGTTCAAGTGATTCTCTTGCCTCAGTCTCCTGAGTAGCTGCGACTACAGGTGCACACCACCATGCGCAGCTAATTTTTGTATTTTTAGTAGAGATAGGATTTCACCATGTTGGCCAGGATGGTCTCAATTTCTTGACCTCATGATCCACCCACCTCGGCCTCCCAAAGTGCTGGGATTATAGGCATGAGCCACCGTGGCTGGCCTAGTCTTGTTTTTCAATCCAAGTGTTCCATCTGTTTACATTTAATGTAATTGTTGATCACTGGATTTGTCTACCATCTTGCTATCCGTTTCTGTCCACAGATAAACTCTTATCTTAGACTTCAACCTCAGCCTACTCTTGGTATCAGGCGTCCCAACAAACACGGCAGGTTGTCACGTGGCCAGAGGGTACTGATTTTTCATGTTGTTGTAGTTTGATGGGGTGGGGTGGAGGAATGAGCTGGATCTCTGGTTCCACCTCAACAGGCATAATTCCATTTTGTCTTATATATTAGGGATTCTGTAAAAGATTATGAAAACGGAGTTCTGCAGTTACAGTTTGAATGCCATGAGACGACAAGATTTCCAGTCTCTTCTGTGACTTTAATATACACCCAAATAAGGAGATGGACTACTATACTAACTCAGGCTGATCACTCCTGAACCAGGTTCCAGGCAATACTCCAGTTCTGGAGTTTTTAACAGCTGAAAATAACTAAGACTCCCCTGGCCTCAAGAACTGGGAAAACAGCTGAGTCCTGCAGGAGCTAAATTGGGAAAGGGCAGAGGTAATCCTAAGGAATCCCATGCAAGTCTTGACACTGGAGACAGCAAACCTAAGTTTGAAACACACAGCTTCCCATTCCAGATACTGTCAGCTCTAGAGAGATGGTATATGCAATAGGAAATCACTTTCTAGATTAAACTCTCAGGCTGGATGAGTGGGATTACCTTTCTAGTTATAAATATTAAAACATTCTTTTGTTTTCCATCCTGAAGTGGATTTTATAAGGTATCTTGCTCATCTTTGTAATATGTCTAAAGCAGAGCAACACTACTTTCTTTCCAGAAAAGACTCATTCTAAGGCAGAACATGCTTTTATTAGATTATTACATTTTATAGCCCTCTGGACTCATGGACCTACTAGGCAGACTAACCCTGTAATGTGATTTGCCATAAGTAAAGCAAAGAATAGAGTCAGAGGCAGGAATGACAAAGCAGTTAAAGGAAAAACTAGGCAATGGAAGCCTGGGCTGAGGAATAAAAACTTGAAACTTCACAAACATCTCATCCCTTCTCCAGACTAGAGAAACCTTAGCGGTTTAGGGTAAATCCTAGCTCTGACACTTACTGGCTGTGTGAATTTGAGTAAATTATTTAACCTCTAAACCATTTCTTATCTGTACAAAATGTTGTATTATCTACTTGATTCTTCAGCCGTGGGAATGAAGTGAGATACAACAGAAAAAGTGTTTGGCACAGTGCTGGTTTATGGCAGCCCTCAACCATCAGTGGTGCTATTATTTTCCACTAGGAGCAGGTGAAGGGCCATAAAAGGCTTATGCAGCTGCCGAAGTTCATTGTTAAAGGAATTCAAGGCTCAAATATTTCAAGTGCAAGCTAGAAATGAAATTCACCAGTATCACTGGTGAAATCACCCTTGCTTCCTTCGCTCCCAGTGAGCTGGTCACACACACTACTCAGGCTCTTTCTATTCACCAGGACTTCATTTTAATGTGGACCATTTCCTTTGTGGCTTATTCCAAAAGTCTTCTAAGTCTGTCCTAATTGCCAAGTCATTTAACCCCTGCCTCACCCTCCACCACCAGAAAAATCCTCCATAAAAGCAACTTGCTTAAAATTTTCTCCTAAGTCTCCCATGCCTAATAGGTAAGGTCTGAATATTTTACTTTAGCATACAAGGCCATTGACAACCTGAATTAAAATGGTTTTCCGAGCCTTGCCACTCCCAGCTCTCCAATCTAACACATTTTTCCTGTTCTCCTAACGTATTTGTCTTTCAAACCTTCACACTATCATGCTAGGAGATGACTTTCTTCTCTCACAAAATCTTATTCAACCTTCAAGACTTAGCTAAAATGCACTTTTAAATGAAGTCTATCCTGACTTCCCAAAATTGTCTTTTCTTCCTTCAGGCTTCATATATATATATATCTCTCTATATATCTCTATATCTATATATATATATATCTAAAATGTGTGTATATATGTATGTACACACAAACACACACACACAGACATGGCTTTGTCTTAATCTCCAGGCTGCAGTGCAGCAGTGTGATCACAGCTCTTTGCAGCCTCAATCTTCTGGCCTCATGCAATCCTCCTGCCTCAGTCTCCAGAGTAGCTGGGACTACAGGCACATGCCACCACACCCAGCTAACTTTTAAAATTTTTAGTAGAGATGAGGTTTCACTAAGTTGTCCAGGCTGTTCTTGAATTCCTGAGCTCAAGTGATCCTCCTGCCTTGGCCTCCTTAAGTGCTGGGATTATACGTGTGACCCACCATGCCCAGTTTACAACTTAATCTTCAACATAGCACTCAATAGAACACTTTTTTTTTGAGATGAAGTTTCACTCGTTGCCCAGGCTGGAGTGCAATGGCGCAATCTTGACTCACCGCAACCTCCATCTCCCGGGTTCAAGCCATTCTCTAGCCTCAGCCTTCTGAGTAGCTGGGATTACAGGCATGCGCCACCACTCCCAGCTGATTTTGTTTTTTTAGTAGAGATGGGGTTTCTCCATGTTGGTCAGGGTGGTCTTGAACACCTTGGGTGTTCCGCCCACCTTAGCCTCCCAAAGTGTTGGGATTACAGGCGTGAGCCACTGCGCCCTGCCTTTTTTTTTTTTTTTTTTTTTTAAAGACAAAGTCTCTCTGTTGCCCAGGCTGGAGTACAGTGGCACATTTGGCTCATTGCAACCTCCGCCTACCAGGTTCAAGTGATCCTTCTGCCTCAGCCTCCCTAGTAGCTGGGATTACAGGCACGTGCCACCATGCCTGGCTAATTTTTGTATTTTTAGTAGAGATGGGGTTTCGCCCTGTTGGCCAGGTTGGTCTCGAACTCCTAACCTCAGGTGATCTTCCCGCCTTGGCCTCCCAAAGTGCTAGGATTACAGGTGTGAGCCACTGTGCCTGGCCTAACAGAACATTTTATTTACGTCTGCCTTTCCCAACAGACATATTTTTTATTTCAATCATTTTTCTATTTGCTCCACTGTGGCAATAACATATTTGAAAGCAATTTGACTTTGTGAAAGCATATATTTTAAGGGATTATACTGTTACTATACCGATCTGAAAGAGAAATGGGAAGACTGAAGGCAGGAAATGACGTGGCCTCTTTCCCTTTACCAGTTCAAGGTCTCGATAATTTATTTTTCCTGTAAAAAAAGAGATGAAGTCTCACTATGTTGCCCAGTCTGGTCTTTTGAACTTCTGAGCTCAAGTGATCCTCCTACCTCAGCCTACCAAGTAGCTGGAACTACAGGCATGTGCTACCATGCCTGGCTTAGGTTCTGACCTGTAGCAGTCCTTACATGAAGGATAACCAGCTTGTAAGGTGGCCTAAAATAAGATGAACAGTTCTCAGGCAGCCCACTCAAGTAAATTCACACATAATGAGAAACCAGAGATGTGTTAGAGTTAAAAGAGTAAGTATAAAAAGTTTTACTTTTTTTGTGTAATTTTTAATACAAGACATCTAAAGTCTTAGATAAACAGTAAGTTGATCCCATCAGGAACAAAATATGGCACGAATTCCAAAAACAAGAACATATCTTTTTTTTTTTTTGCACTTAGGCTTTTCAGTCACTATGCAATGATTATCGATTCGCCAAGGACAGTAACACTCAAATACTAGAGAAAAGGATATATGAGAAACATCTTTTATTTCTTCTAAAGAGGTGAAAATAAGTTTCTTTTATATTTCTCACTCATAAGATTTTTAAACTCTTAAAAATGCAATATCCTCTTTTCAAAGCACATGCCATCTTAAAAAAAAATCTTAGCAATGTACATTTGCACTCAAAGAAAAACATGCAGCGCCATTGTCTTCTGACAAAATCCTGCATAAAAAAACCCTATGCAACTTTCTGCAAGTATGTTCCCTCTTTATTATTCAGGGACTCCAAACCACAAACATTCAGTGCAATATTTATTGTTTCTTATTTCCTTAGGAAACACAGGACCAATGATGTCTTCTGACAACTGTTTCCTGATGGTTGAGCAATAGTCTCCCTTTGCTTTATTTTAAAGTATTCTTTTTAACTTGCTGATGTAAGGTATAATTAGAATTCAGTAAAACTTGAGGATCCAATGGAGGGTGGAGAATGAAGGATGGAGGAGAAATACTTAAGGTCTACCCTGTGCCATAAACTTAGGAAAAAAATTTACACAGAAAAAACCAAAATAACCACCAAAAAACCTCAGATTTTATCAATGCACCCTTTTAAAAAGTTTTTTTTTTTTAATTTCTGAAAGCAGCTTAAGGTCAATCAAAAGCAGTTCCTGAGTAACTGCAGTAAACAGTCTTTTAAAATATATATGTACATACACATGTACATATATATGTGTATATATATATTTGCAACTTAGCTCATTTGGTTCTGCCTTAATTTACCTCCCCAGCATTTAGTCCCTTCTTTCCTTTCAGTCCCCAATGTGCAAGTACAATAGCATCAGCTCTGGGAGTTGGCGTGGAGCAGATGTTTCTTATCACTCCTATGAGGTCATCTGCTTGTCTGTCAGGCCAGGTTTCCAGAGTTGCTGCAGGTCATAGTTCTCTCAATCTCACAAAACCTGTGAGCATCATGGCCACCTCACGTTTTCTTCATCAGACGCCGTGACTGCCACGTGTGGAGCTTGTTGTAGGCTGTTTGGAGCATCTCTTCTATGTGACTTACCAACTGAAAAACACAGCAAGACACTTAACAACTGGGCAAAAGCAGGGGAAGTCATTCCTTCCAACCGAAGTCTGGCACATACTTACTTCAGAGTGTAGTTAGCTCCTCTGTATTTCCCTAGTAAATGGGGTAATGTGCAAGCCCTCTGAGAAGGCTCCGTCAGACACATTTCATATGGAAAGGTAAGAGGAAGTGGGGTACAGTGAAAAGGCTTCGGTTGTAATGGCTGTCCTGTCATTAACCAACAATAGGACAATATGAAAGTCACAATTGTGCTCCAGGCCTCAGTTCCTTCCCTCAAACGAGGTGTCTCAACTAAATTGGTGATTTCTAGATTTAAATACTGGTCTGCCAACTTGGGCCAGGATGGTGGTATAAACTTTTTTTTTTTTTTGAGACAGATTCTTGCTCTGTTGTCCAGGCTGGAGTGCTGTGGCATAATTTTGGTTTACCAGAGCCTCCACCTCGCCGGTCCAAGTGATCCTCCTGCCTCAGCCCCACTGGTAGCTGGGATTACAAGCATGCACCACCCCACCTGGCTAATTTTTGTATTTTTAGTAGAGATGGGGTTTCACCATGTTGGCCAGGCAGGTCTCAAACTCCTAGCCTCAAGTGAGCCACCCACTTCAGCCTCTCAAAGTGCTATTACAGGACTGAGCCACTGTGCCCGGCCACATTTTTTTTTTTTTTTTTTAAATAGTAGAGATGGACTCTTGCTATGTTGCCCTGGCTGGTCTCAAACTCCTGGGCTCAAGCAATCTTCCTGCCTCAGGCTCCCAGTGTGCTGGAATTACAGGTGTGAACCACTGCGCCCAGCCCCATATATACATCTTGGAGGAACACTGGAAAAATGCCTATTCTCCTGAAGATTCTGATTTAACAGGCCTGGGATGAGACCCAAGAATCTTTGATTTTCTTTCTTTTTTTTTTTTTGAGACGGAGTTTCGCTCTTGTTACCCAGGCTGGAGTGCAATGGCACGATCTCGGCTCACCGCAACCTCCGCCTCTTGGGTTCAGGCAATTCTCCTGCCTCAGCCTCCTGAGTAGCTGGGATTACAGGCACGCACCACCATGCCCAGCTCATTTTTTGTATTTTTAGTAGAGATGGGGTTTCACCATGTTGACCAGGATGGTCTCGATCTCTTGACCTTGTGATCCACCCGCCTTGGCCTCCCAAAGTGCTGGGATTACAGGCTTCAGCCACCGCGCCCGGCCAAGAATCTTTGATTTTCAAAAGCTCCTGCAGTTAATTCTGCACAATTTTGTGAAAGTTTTTTATTTTTAGGGTTTTTCCAACTCCAGCATTTCAGGAGTTCAATACAACTCAGCAGATTACAGAAAACCTAAATGGTTTCAGTGCTTCACACAATGTGCTGTCATCTCTTGGTAAAGACTGTAGATCTGGCCAGGCACAGTGGCTCATGGCTATAATCCTAGCACTTTGGAAGGCTGAGGTGGGTGGATTGCCTGAGCTCAGGAGTTTGAGACCAGCCTGGGCAACATGGCAAAACCCCATCTTAAAAAAAAAAAAAAAAAAAAGACTGTAGATCTTTGAGTAGGTTAAGAATTTTACTTTCATCATGGACACAGCTAGAAGTCAACAGGATCATATGGAATTCTTTTTATTTTTTTTAAGAGACAGGGTCTCACTATGTTGCCCAGGCTGGAGTGCAGTGGCTATTCACAGGTGCACTTTTAATATACTATAGCCTTAAACTCCTGATCTCAATTGATCCTCCTGCCTTAGTCTCTTGAGTAGCTAGACTACATGTACATATTACCATATCTGTCTTACACTGACTTTTGAGGTAGAAGTCTCTGGAATATCTGTTTCCTTGGAGGTGGACAGTCTTTACGTATTTGGAAGTAAAGTTTTGCCAACTCTAGGAAAATGGAGATGGAAACAAGGAAGTCCTAAATTCTTTTGGCATGTCAATCCCAGGTCTGAGGGGTACAGAGTTAAAAAAATTCCCCTAATTGCCAAACCTACTTATCATTATGGGGGATAGGCATATTTAGTTTTGTTTGGAAACTATAAAAATTATTTATTCTGCTTGATTGGCGGCAATATCTAGATCTATATTGTCAACTGGAAGAAATGAACACCATATCCTCCTGTAAGGCTGCACATGGCCTCGGCATCCTTTTCTTTTTTTGAGATGGAGTTTCACTCTTGTTGCCCAGGCTGGAGTGCAATAGCACTATCTCTGCTTACTGCAATATGTGCCTCCTGGGTTCAAGCGATTCTGCTGCCTCAACTTCCCGAGTAGCTGGGATTACAGGCACTTGTCACAACATCTGGTTAATTTTTGTATATTTAGTAGAGACAAGGTTTAACCACGTTGACCAGGCTGGTCTCAAACTCCTAACCTTAGGTGATCCACCTGCCTTTGGCCTCCCAGAGTGCTGTGACTATAGGTGTGAGCCACCATGCTCAGCCCTCAGCATCCTTTTCAACACAGCACTCCAAGCAGTTATAATCAATTGAGAAGGCACATGACCTGAAACCTATCTGCCATTTTTGCCCTGCTGTGGGAAGACACTCCAAGCTTCTATTCTAAGTAATGCTGTTTTATACTTTAAGAAAACCCACTAAGAATATGTAGGGAATAAATATGAAAAATCTTACTGATGATTTTTCAGCTCTCAACTGTAAAACTCCCCTTTTAATTATCTTAGTTATTGAATCTTTTTTTTTTTTTTTTAAGAGGCAGGGTATCACTATGTTGCCCAGGCTGGAGTGCAGTGGCTATTCATAGGCGCAATCCCACTACTGATCAGCATGGGAGTTTTGATGCGCTTCATTTCCAACCTGGGCTGCTTCACCTCTTTAGGCAACCTGGTGGTCCCCGCTCCTGGGGTGGGTCACCATATTGATGCTGAATTTAGCGTGGACATCTGATCAGCATAGCGCACTACAGCCCAGAACTCTTGGGCTCAAGCGATCCTCTCACCTCAGCCTCCCGAGTAGCTGGGACTACAAGCATGCGCCAACACGACTGGCTATCTTAGGTTATTGAATCTTAAATTTGTAACTAGAGTCATGCTCCACATAATGCACATATATGACGGTGGTCCCATAAGATTATAATAGAGCTGAGAAATTCCCATCATCTAGTGATGTCATAACATCATAGAGTAGCACATTATCCACTCGTTTGTAGGGAGGCTGGTATAAACAAACCTATTAAGTTGCCAGCTGTATAGAAGTATAGCATGTACAATTATGTGTCAGACATAATACTTGAAAATGATAATGAATGACTATGTTACTGGTTTATCTATTTACTGCATTTAAAAATCATTATTTACGGTATTTACATGCATTAAAAAGTTAACTATACAACAGCCTTAGGCAGGTCCTTCAGGAGGTATTCCAGAAGAAGGCATTGTTATCATAGGAGATGACAGCTCCACGTGCATTACTGCCCCTGAAGATCTTTCAGTGGGACAAGATGTGGAAGTAGAAGACAGTGACAGTGATGATGAGAGTGGCCCTGTGTAAGCCTAGGCTAATGTGTGTTTGTGTCTTAAGTTTTTAACAAAAAAGTTTAAAAAGAAAAAAAAATTAAAAATAGAAAAAAGCTTATAGAATAAGAATATAAAGAAAGTACTTTTGTACAGCTATACAATGTGTTTGTGTTTTAAGCTAAATGCTATTCCAAAGAATCCAAAGTTCTTTTAAAAAAAACCTTTAAAAATATTTAAAAGTTGCTGGGCGCGGTGGCTCACGCCTGTAATCCCAGCACTTTGGGAGGCTGAGGCGGGTGGATCACGAGGTCAAGAGATCGAGACCATCCTGGTCAACATGGTGAAACACCATCTCTACTAAAAATACAAAAAATCAGCTGGGCATGGTGACGCGTGCCTGTAATCCCAGCTACTCAGGAGGCTGAGGCAGGAGAATTGCCTAAACCCAGGAGGCGGAGGATGCAGTGAGCCAAGATCGCGCCATTGCACTCCAGCCTGGGTAACAGGAGCGAAACTCCGTCTCAAAAAAAAAAAAAAAAAAAAAAAAAAAAAAAAAAAAAAAATTAAAAGTTTATGAAGTAAAAACAAAAAGTTTATGAAGTTAAAATGTTATAGTACGCTAAGGCTAATTTATTATGGAAGAAAAAAGTTTTTGGGTAAATTTAGCGCAGCCTAAGTGTACAGCGTTAATAAACTCTGCAGTAGTGTACACTGATATCCTAGGCTTTCACATTCACTTACCACTCACTCACTGAGTTTACCCAGAGCAACTTCCAGTCCTGCAAGCTCTATTCATGGTAAGTGCCCTATACAGGTGGACCACTTTTTATCTTTTATACTGGATTTTTACTGCATCTTTTCTATGTTTAGATACACAAATACTTACTTTTGCACCAATTTAATAAAAAGTAAATAAATAAATAGATACACAAATACCACTGTGTTAAAACTGTCTACATATTTACTATAGTACTGTGCTGTATAGGTTTGTGGCCTAGGAACAACAGGCTAGACCAGGCGTCCCCAAACTTTTTACACAGGGGGCCAGTTCACTGTCCCTCAGATCGTTGGAGGGCCACCACATACTGTGCTCCTCTCACTGACCACCAATGAAAGAGATGCCCCTTCCTCAAGTGTGGCAGGGGGCCGGCGGGCGGCCAGATAAATGGCCTCAGGGAGCTGCATGTGGCCCATGGGCCGTAGTTTGGGGACGCCTGGGCTAGACCATACAGCCTAGAGTGTAGCAGGCTATATAGCTAGGTTTAAGTACACTGTACGAGGTTCATACAACAAAACTGCCTATCAATGAATTGTTTAGAACATATCCCTGTGGTTAAGCAACACATGACTGTACTATTCTTCCTAAGGTATATCTGGGTCGACTTGAATAATGCACATAAAAATTATCTGATGTGGTTGCTCTAACCTGGTTTTAAATGCAATGCTAAAAATGCTGGGCATAAAGGGACACTTCTCAATACCTCATCCACTGACCTTCCCTGCTGTAAACAATCAGGGAAGCTGATGCCAAATAGACCCCAGGAATAGTTCTGCTTACTGTTAGTAGTGGCAATTCTATCTTTCCTTATGCTGCTAGGTTTGTGCTTGCTACTCAGTTTTTCCAAATTAAAAATTAGTAATATATATTTTTGGGAATATACAGATAGATTATAAAAAAAAATTTTTTTTTTTTTTTTTGGACACAGAGTCTTGCTCTGTCACCCAGGCTGGAGTATGGTGATGTGACTTCTACCTCCTGGGTTCAAGTAATTCTCCTGTCTCAGCCTCCCAAGTAGCTTGGACTACAGGCATGTGCCACCATGGCAGGCTAATTTTTGTATTTTTAATAGAGACAGGGTTTCACCATGTTGGCCAGACTGGTCTTGAACTCCTGACCTCAAGTGATTGGCCTGCCTTGCCTCCTAAAGTGTTGATATTACAGGCGTGAGCTACTGCACCTGGCCAAATTGTAAAACTTTCTAAGGGTAAGTATGGAGATGATTGTCCTTGGTTAGTCACGACCTCTGGAGGGGAGGAGGGAGTGGTATGCAACTGGACAGGAGCACTCTGGGAATATCTATGGGTTATGGTAACATTCTATTACTTTTCCTGATTGGCGAGTACATAGACAGTTGTTTTACTATCTTAAAAATATGTACATATTTTATATACTTCTGAATGCATGACACATTTCAATATTAAAACATAGTACTATGAACAACAGAAAATAATGAAGTATTGATGGGGCACGGTGGCTCATAACTGTAATCCCAGCACTTTGGGAGACTAAGGCGGGCTGATCACCTGAGGTCAGGAGTTCGAGACAAGCCTGGCCAACATGGTGAAACCCTGTCTTTGCTAAAAATACAAAAAGTAACTGGGTGTGGTGGCACATGCTTGTAATCCCAGCTACTCAGGAAGCTGAGGCAGGAGAATCACTTGAACCCAGGAGACGGAGGTTGCAGTAAGCTGAGATCGAGCTCCTGCACTCCAACCTGGGTGACAGAATAAGATTCTGTCTCTAAAACAAAAGAAGAAAAAGAAAGTATCTACTTATTTACATGAAAGCAAAGTCAATTTCATCATTTTACTACAAAGAGAAAGAAGATCGGGCAAAAATCAGACTGCTGCCTTACATTTGCGCTTAAATATTGTCTCCGAATCTTTTCTTGGAATGGGCAGAGCTTCGTAACTTGGAATCGTTCCAAATTACTTTTCATTTTCACTACCTAAAAAAGATGAGAAACAATATAATTTGAGACCAAGAGAAAAACAGGATCTTCTACATATGAAAGCTACTTTTCTTGTAGGAAATTTTTTTAAATGTAAAAAGAAAATAAACATATACCTATTATACCCCACTGTTAACACTTCAATGTGAACATCTTTCAGTCATAAATACTCATTTGGCCAGGCATGGTGGCTCACACCTGTAATGCCAGCACTTTGGGAGGCTGAGGTGGGCAGATCATGAAGTCAAAAGAGCAAGACCATCCTGGCCAGCATGGTGAAACCCAGTCTCTATTAAAAACACAAAAATTAGCTGGGTGTGGTGGTGTGTGCATGTAGTCCCAGCTACTCAGGAGGCTAAGGCAGGAGAATCACTTGAACCTGGAAGGCAGAGGGTGTAGCAAGCTGAGAGTGCCACTGCATTCCAGCCTGGCGACAGACTCAAAATAAATAAATAAATAAATAAAAATAAAAATAAGTAAATAAAAATAAATAAATAAAAGACTTGGCTGGGCGCAGTGGCTCACGCCTATAATCTCAGCACTTTGGGAGGCTGAGGTGGGTGGATCACAAGGTCAAGAGATCAAGACCATCCTGGTCAACATGGTGAAACCCCGCCTCTACTAAAAATACAAAAATTAGCTGGGCATGGTGGCACACACATGTAGTCCCAGCTACTCGGGAGGCTGAGGCAGGAGAATTGCTTAAATATAGGAGGCAGAGCTTGTGGCGAGCCGAGATTGCGCTCACTGCACTCCAGCCTGGGTAACAAGAGCGAAACTCCATCTCAAAAAAAAAAAAGTAAATAAATAAAAATTTAAAAAGGCTCATTTAAATAGTCACTCATTCATTTATTAATTCATTCAGAGACAGGGTCTTACTCTACCAACCAGGCTGGATGACAGTGGCATCTGCAGTGGCAAGGTCGTCGCCTCACTGCGGTTTTGACCTCTCTGGGCTCAGGTGATCCCTGAGCTACTTTTTGTGTTTTTTGTAGAGATGGGGTTTTGCCATGTTGCCCAAGCTGATCTTGAAACTCCTGAGCTCAAGCGATCTGCCTGCCTCAGCCTCCCAAAGTGCTGGGTATAGTGGCTCAAGCCTATAATCCCAGCACTCTACAAAAAATTAAAACTTTGTCAGGTGTGGTGGTGTGTGCCTGTAGTCCCAGTTACTAGGGAGGCTGAGGTGGGAGAATTACCTCAATCCAGGAGGTAGGGGCTGCAGTGAGGTGAGATCACACCACAGCACTCCAGCTGGGGCGACAAGAATGAGACCCCGTCTCAAATAAAATAAAATAAAATAGATTGTAGTATTTCAATGTATCAACATACCAAATGCTTCTCTAAACCGCCTTCTGGAAGATATTTAGGCCAATTCCTCTGTCTTAGACAGTGGTACATCCTCTCTACTATTTACATTCCTAATTATTTCCTAAATTTCTAAATGTTGAATTTCATTTGAATGTTGAAGTAAGAGCACTTAAAAAAACACTAGCAGTGTTAAGAAAGGACTCTTGACAACTTGGTTAACATTGATCATTCTAAGTTTTTGGTTCTCTTGCAAGTTAGGTGAAAAAAAATTCTTTTAAAAAATTTACTTATATATTTTTTGGAGACAGAGTCTTTGCTGTGTTGTCCAGGCTGGTCTCCAACTCCTGGGTTCAAACAATCCTCCTGCCTCGGCCGTGCCAAAGTTTTGGGATTACAGGTATGAGCCACTGTGCTTGGTCAAAATGTTCTTTTACTGTAGCTTTAATTTATCTGCATACTGGTGGGTGTGAGCATTTCCACTTAATCTTCCCAGGCCACTGCATTTTTTAGTGAGCTGCTTGTAAAGTGTTTGCCTATTGTTCTTAATAAGTTATTTTTTTTAAAAAGTGTAATCCAGCACTTTGGGAGGCCAAGGCGGGTGGATCATGAGGTCAAGAGATCGAGACCATCCTGGTCAACATGGTGAAACCCTGTCTGTACTAAAAATTCAAAAAATTAGCTGGGCATGGTGGCGTGTGCCTGTATTCCCAGCTACTCAGGAGGCTGAGGCAGGAGAATTGCCTGAACCCAGGAGGCGGAGGTTGTGGTGAGCCGAGATCGCGCCATTGCACTCTAGCCTGGGTAGCAAGAGTGAAACTCCGTCTCAAAAAAAAAAAAAAAAAAAAAAAGCTAGTGCTCAGTTTTTATTTCGGATTTTGCTAACCCTAAAAAGCTTATTAAACATAAATAACTTTACTGATGTAATTTGTTTTGGGACCCTATTCACAGTGGCTTGGAGGTGGACAAATTTTAAGTTGTATGATTATTAGTTATGGAACTGGGATGGATCTCAGTTTCCTAATCTATAAAATGGGTACAACTAATACCTACTCCATAAACATGCTGTGAGGCTTACATGAAATAACGTAGGCAAAACAATTATCCCAGTGTCTGTCACATGGTAAAGACTTAATAAAACTTTCTAATTTCAAAACATCTTGTAAGTCAGTACCACAATTATCTGGCTGTCTTCAGAACCAGTTCTAACCTTTTCTTCTAGGAATGGTGTATTAACAGGAAAGCAGGACCAGAAATGCCGTAGAAGTTCTCCAACAGCTACATACAAGTGTTTCAGTTCAGACTGAATATCATTTGGCACCATCTCTGCAAAAGGACAAGATGCACAGGGTGAAAGCTGTTTTGATACACAGTCCCCAAAAAATGACCACTTGGAAGAATAAACTTGAACATGTGCTGTTTCTCAGTGCCAAACCAGAATATGCTACTTTCAGGTAAGTTACTAATTTTGTGGCTGAGACCATAAAATTTAAAAGTTCTTAAGATTTTAAAGAAACTTTCAGGTTCTCCCTTTATTCTAAGAGATACAGTAGAAGAAAGAAGCTTTTAGTATGGTATTAGACAAACTAGCAATGTACCACTATCTGTAATAGTAAGACAGTTCTGAAACCTAAAATTGTGTCTAGATGTGTTTCAGAATCTGAATGTATAAAAACAAATCTATGAAACAGAATTCCCAGGATTATCCCAAGGGAAAAAGCCAATAAAAGTTCAGCACTCCCCCCAGCTTGATTTTTAAAGCTGATTTAGGCAGAAAGATGGTAGAAGATGGCCTGGTACATACGGTTTATGGCTTGCTGTGTTCCTCCCTGCATAAGTGCTCCTCCAGGTGACAGTGCTGTGATGGTACTACTGGCAGCACTACTTGAGAGAACCTGAAAAAAATGAAGATGAAGAAAAACTGGTTTTCCTCCCTTTTTTTTGCCACCTTTCTTAATATTTAGTCTTACAGCAAAAGATTAAGTGTTTTACTTTTGTTGAAATACTATTTATAGTCATCAGTGTGAACTATTTTCCTTGAGGGCAGAAACACCATCTGTATAGAAAGAAGATACCTACAAATCTTCCAGGCATACAAGGCAAGTCTACAGGGACCTCAAAACTCACAAGGTTTTGCCTCGTTAAAGCCCTTTCTTTTTTTTTTTTTTTTGAGGTAGAGTTTTGATCTCGTTGCCCAGGCTGGAGTGCAATGGGGTAATCTCAGCTCACTGCAACCTCTGCTTCCCAGGTTCAAGTGATTCTCCTGCCTCAGCCTCCCAAGTAGCTGGGATTATAGGCATGTGCCAACATGCCCGGCTAAGTTTTTAGAGCCGGGGTTTCTCCATGTTGATCAGGCTGGTCTCAAACTCTCGACCTCAGGTGATCCACCAGCCTTGGCCTCCCAAAGGGCTGGGATTACAGGCGTGAGCCACTGTGCCTGGCCAGCTCTTTCTTAAGTACCAGTTCAATTTAATTTGGGAAGTCTTACTACTGAAGGTAAAATTGAGTTTAAGGAAAGAAAAACAGGTAAAACAACATGTTAACCTGTATCCTTTGTTATAGTTAAATTTATTTTTGTAAGGAACAAAATCTTGCTATGTTGCCTAGGCTGAACTTGAAGTCTTGGGCTCAAGCAATCCTCATCCCTCAGCCTCCTGAGTAGCTGAGACAGACTACAGGTGTGTACTCCGCACCTGGTTGCTAACATACATCCTTGAGAGCAGATTGGGGGAAAAAAAAATCAACAGAGCAGAAATTTATTGTCATTTAACTTTCAAGGAAGTAAATATAGCCAAAAGGGGAAAATATACTCCCCACTGTATCAACATCAACATTTAGGAAAAAATTGACCTATCTATTCAATGAATGCCTATCAAGTGCCAGGAAGGAAAGCACTGCTGTAGGGAGGAACAAATAATTTGTAAAACAGTAAATGCAGGGTTACCATCTCTGATTTTCCAAAGGCATTTTTAAGAGTAGAAATCTAGGCCGGGCACGGTGGCTCAATCCTGTAATCCCAGCACTTTGGGAGGCCGAGGCGGGTGGATCACGAGGTCAAGAGATCGAGACCATCCTGGTCAACATGGTGAAATCCCGTCTCTACTAAAAATACAAAAATTAGCTGGGCATGGTGGCGCGTGCCTGTAATCCCAGCTACTCGGGAGGCTGAGGCAGAAGAATTGCCTGAACCCAGGAGGAGGAGGTTGCGGTGAGCTGAGATCGCGCCATTGCACTCCAGCCTGGGTAACAAGAGCGAAAGTCCGTCTCAAAAAAAAAAAAAAAAAAAAAAAAGAGTAGAAATCCATGCATGCATAGATTGGATGAAAAACCATTTTTTCAACTTAATGTAAGAAGTACAGTATGTGACAACCATGAATCAAGGGGACATGAAAGCTCACTTTATTACTATTTTCCTTTTGTCAGATACCAACCTGAGCAATATGGCAAAACCCTGTCTCTACAAAAAATACAAAAAGATTAGTCGGGCATGGTGGTGCACAACTGTAGTCCTAGCTACTTGGGAGGCTGAGGTGAGAGGATCATTTGAGCCCAGAAAAGTTGAGGCTGCAGTGGGCTGAGATGGTGCCACTGCACTCCAGTCTGGGCAACAAAGCAAGACTCTGACTCAAAAAAAAAAAAAAAAAAAAAAAAGATTTGACTAAAGCTTAAAAAATTATGTGGGGAGATCTGGGCATGGTGGCTAACAACTGTAATACTAGTGACTGAGGAGGCTGAGGTGGGAGCATCACCTGAGCCCAGGAGTTCAAGGTTGCAGTAAGCTATGAGAGTGCTACTGCACCCCAGTCTGGGTGACAGAGACCTCATCTCTAAATCAAATAAATACCTCCACCCCCAAAACAAAAGTTGCATGAGTCTACTGGGGCCCAAGGGCCACATATTGAACAACTATAAACCAGATTGAAAGAATTGGTCAAACAATCCTAAATTGGTTATGGGTACATATATGTACATACATGTATTTTCTAGCTTCCTGCCGAAGGGACAGTAACACCTCAATAACAATGAGTACATTTAGTGCCCAGATCTGGTTTTGTTTTTTGAGACAGAGTCTCACTCTATTGCCTAGGCTGGAGTGCAGTGCTGCAATTTCAGCTCCTCACTGCAACTTCCACCTCCCAGGCTCAAGGAATTCTCCTGCCTTAGCCTCCCAAGTAGCTGGGACTACAGGTATGAACCACCACACCTGGCTAGTTTTTATATTTTTAGTAGAGACAAGGTTTTGCCATGTTGGCTGGGGTGAACTACAACTCTCAACTGATCCGTGTGCCTCGGGCTCCCAAAGTGGTGGGATTACAGGCGTCAGCTGCTGTGCCTGATCTCAGATTTTGGTTCCTAAATCCACTCAACACTAAAAAGAAAATTCCATGCCTGGGGCAGAGCAGGTATATAACAAGTCTGGAACATCTATCTTACTGCACCATTAAGTAAGGAGGGGCTCAGAATGATGGGGATATTGTCAGAAAGACACAGGAGAGCCTGTGTGAAGGGTGCAGGAAGGGTTTGACTATGAAAGGGCATGGGTACATTTTCTGGGGTGACAGAACTTTTTTTTTTTTAATCTTGATTTTGTTTGTGGCTACACAGCAGCATGTTTTGATAAACTTGTAGAATAGCAAACTTAAAGATAAATTCCAGTTTGGGAGGCTGAGGTGGGTGGATTGCCTGAGCTCAGGAGTTTGAGACCAGCCTGGTCAATGTGGTGAAACCCCATCTGCACACAAGAAAATACAAAAATTAGCCCAGGGTGGTGATGCATGCCTAGAATCCCAGCTACTTAGCTATTTGGGGGGCTGAGGTGAGAGAATCGCTCACCTCAACCTGGGAGGTTGAGGCTGCAGTGAGCTGAGACTGTGCCACTTCATTCCAGCCTCAGTGACAAAGTGAGACCCTGTCTCTAAATAAATAAATTTTACTGTATGAAAGTTGTACCTTGGTTAATAAAAAGAAAAAATGGCCTATAACCTCAGCATTCTGGCTGAGGTAGGTGGATCGCGTGAGCTCAGGAGTTCAAGACCAGCCTGAAGCAATGTGGCAAAACCCCGTCTCCATAAAAAATATAAAAAATTAGTTGGGCATGGTGATGTGTGCCTGTGGTTCCAGCTACTCGGGGGGCTAAGGTCAGAGGATCACTTGAGCCAGGGAGATAGAGGTTTCAGTGGGCTGAGATCATGCCACTGCACTTCAGCGTCGGTGACAGAGTAAGACGTGAGACCCCATCTACAAAAAAAGAAAAAAAGACAGCACCAGTGTTTAACTAACAGAGTAAGAATTCACGGGCCGGGTGCAGCGGCTCACGCCTGTAATCCCAACACTTTGGGAGGCTGAGGCAGGCAGATCACAAGGGTAAGAGATCGAGACCATCCTGGCCAACATGGTGAAACCCTGTCTCTACTAAAAATACGAAAACTAGCTGGGCGTGGTGGCTTGCACATGTAGTCCCAGCTACCTAAGGAGGCTGAGGCAGAATTGCTTGAAGCTGGGAGGCAGAGGTTGCAGTAAGCCAAGATTGCGCCATCGCACTCCAGCCTGGTGACAGAGTGAGAATCAGTCTCAAAAAAGAATCCATGAATCCCCTGCTGATATAAATAATAGAGAAGGGAAAGCTCTTCCTTTCATGTCAGCTGATAAACGTAGAAGGGCTTATGGAATTAGAAAATCATCATTTAAAAACTGCTCTTTCAGGCAAGAATCTTCAATGATTCTAAAAACTAACCACTAGATGAAAGTTTGTTGTGGTGTGGTGACACATCTATAATTCCAGCTACTCAGGAGGTTGAGGCGGGAGGACTGCTTGAGCCTAAGTGTTTGAGGCTGTAGGGAGCTATGACTGTGCCACTGCACTCCAGCCTGGGCACCAGAGCAAGACCCTGTCTCTAAAGATGATAATGTTAAAAAACATTTAAAAATTTGGTAAGAAATGAGATATTTACATAGTCTCAAAGAATGGCCCCATAAAATATTTATTAATTACAAAGGGAAATACAGTAACTTTCTGGTGATAAACCAGGCAAATACTACCTTAACCAAGTGATAAAATTTAGTATCACAAGACAGAACATATACAAATTATTTGCCTCCTAGTGTGACACACTGAGTAGGACATTACTTCTGTGATATTTTTGGCAAAAATGCTTAATAAATCTAGTCATGAAGAAACATTAGAGAAACTTAAGGTCATTCTACAAAAAAATGCCCAGTACTCTTCAATGTCAAAGTTATAAAAAGACAGTAACTGACAAATATTCCATTTTAAAGGAGACTTAAAACATATAAGAAATAAATACAATTCATGAACCCGGCTTAGCTGCTGGACCAAGAAAAGTTATCTTTTGCTATGTAGAACATTAGTGGTAAAACGGGTGAAAGTGTACTAAGATCTGTAGAACAGAAAATACATCATCAATGTTAATTTATTAATTCTATAATTGTATTGTTATTTAAGATAATGTCTTAGTTTTTTGAAACTATACATCCAAATCTTTAGGGGTAAAGGGAAATTATGCCTATAACCTACTCCCAAAATGGGTTTGAAAACGTATTCTGCCATTTTTTGTAAAACATGAAATTACATCAAAATAAAAATTTAAAAAGTCTTAATGTATGATAAATACCATAATATAGGCATATGCTCCGTGTCTCAGTGTTCATAAAAACAGAGGAAAAAACAAATTCCTCTTTGCACAAGGATTACTTTCCAAAGGAAACTGGAGCTGAGTCTTGAGTAATTATTAGTTCTTTGGGGGAGAAACAGGGCTAAGGGCATTCTAAGGAGAAAAGCATGAGTCAAAGCACAGGAAGAATGAAGGAGATAATGTGATCAAAAGACTGCGGACAGCTTAGTGTGTTTGGCTGGAGTACAGAACCCTTGGCTATGTGTGGAAGGGAGTAGTGGAGACTGGCTGAAGATGAGACTCGAGTAGTGGGCTGGGGCCAGACTACAAAGAATTTTGCAGGCCAGACAAAGACACTCAGACTACTGCAATGAAGGGAGTCAGTAAAGTTTTTCAAACTGCAGAGTGATAAATGTTTTTATTTTTTATTATTTATTTGTTTGTTTGAGATGGAGCTTCGCTCTTATTGCCAAGGCTGGAATGCAATGGCATGATCTCGGCTCACTGCAACCTCTGCCTCCTGGTTCAAGCAATTCTCCTGCCTCAGCCTCTCAAGTAGCTGGGATTACAGAAGTGCGACACCATGTCCAGCTACTTTTGGTTTTTTAGTATTGATGGCGTATCACCATGTTGGCCAGGCTGGTCTCAAACTGCTGACCTCAAGTGATCCACCTATATCAGCCTTCCAAAGTGTTAGAATTGCAGGCGTGAGGCACTGCGCCCAGCCAAAATAAATGCTTTTAGGAAGGTAACTTGCAGTAGCATTATGGAAAACTGTCAGATTTGCCTAAATAAAGGTGACAGAATGAGGAAGTATTATTGAAGGCAGAACTGACAAACTGCTGATCAACTGGAGTATGAAGAAAAACAACAATGATGAGCTGTTTTACATATTTTGAACATGAGTCAAGCAAATATTCAGAGAAAAATGTCCAGAGAGAATCTGAAAACCTGGGAGATGTTTCCAATAAAACTGAGTATATGGAAGTAAAAAAAAAAAAATCACAAAACTCATCACCTTATTTTTTTTCCTTATCATCTTAAGATGCCTCTTGAATATGCCAAACACCTTTTCTTGCTACCTCTTGATTTTGCAATTTATTTAGCAGAACTATGTCTTTAAGCCCAATTAAATATTAGTTGTATAGTTCAATCTGCTTGTGCCCATAAACTGAGGAAGGAACTATGCGAATTCTGGCCTTCGAACATTATAAGTCACCTACCTGAGTTATAAGTCGTTATAAGTCATTATAAGTCATTATAAGTCACCTACCTGAGTTAACTTGGGTGTATAAGCTTCCATTTCTTGTCTAATACTTTGAAAAGAATTAATAATGTCCTGACTTGTTGCATACTGCAGTGACTGAATTGGAGTTGGACCATGATAATACCTGCAGGTTAGCACAGAATAAATTACTAATCACATACAGTAAAAGATGCTCAACATTTGTCTTTGCAACATTTTAGTAGTCAGTACAAAGCTCCCCTTCAAGGTAAGAAATGATAACTACATAGTTAAGAATATTTCAATAAAATAATTTAATTCCCATAAACGGCAGTAAGATCCAACATTTATAGTCATGGTTTTGATCATTTTTGCTTTCCTGAGAAGCATAAATTTTAAACAAAAAAGGATATTGTACTTTGATGGTGACACACTAATTAAAACATGAGGACTATACTTGTAGGATATGTTTTGCACTGAATTGTGTTACATAGCTATTCTGCTTAATATTGACCAAACTTACCTATCTGACTTCTTGAGGTTTAGTGCAATCGTTTTTACAGAATTATTTTTCCCCAAGTCTTCATATTCAATGGACTCTTGTAATTTCGCCTATAATTATTAACACAGTACTTTTTATTTGGTCACAACTTTCTTTTACACAAGTAATACACATGACTGAAAAAACAAAACTGTACAGAGGGTAAAAAATAAAGTCTTCCCACCTAAGCTTCCCTTCCTAGAGATGACTGTCCTACAAATGGTTTAATCAATTTTCTCAACAAGCACTTTGACAGAGTACTAGTTTTCTTACACTCTGACCACATGAAGTATTATCAAACTTTTTATTTTTGCCAATTTGGTAGGTGAAAGTTTATATTTTATTGTTTTTCCCCCAAATGAATGATTTGTCCATGCTGTCTGCTGTTTGGTTTTTGGTTTTAATTATAAAAAAAATCCACCTCCTTGGCAGGTGCCTGTAATCCCAGCTACTCGGGAGGCCGAAGCAGAGAACTGTTTGAACCTGGGAGGCAGATGTTGCAGTAAGCCGAGACAGTACTCCAGTGTGGGTGACAAGAGTGAGACTCCATCTCCAAAAAAAAAAAAAAAAATCCACCTCTTCACCCACAAAGCTTGTAAGTCTGTGGCTTATTACTATTATTATTTTTTAAAGAAATGATCTCGCTATGATGCCTAGGCTAGATTCAAACTTCTAGGCTCAAATTGCCACTGCCCCCAAAACTCAGTCTCCTAAATTGCTGAGATTACAGGCACATGCTACCATGTCCAGCTTGTGGCTTAATTTTTGCTTAAATCTTGGATCCACCTGGAATTTATTTTGGATTAGGAGTGAAACAGAAAATCTAAGTTTCTTTTAACAAAATTATCAATCAGTTCTTCTAACACCATTTATAAAGTAATTTATCTTTTCTCACTGATTTTTTAAATGTCATGTGTATCATATACATGCTTAATTCCTCCATTTATTTGGGTTTGGTTCAAGCAATTCTCGTGCCTCAGCCTCCCGAGTAGCTGGGATTACAGGAGGCTAATTTTTGTATTTTTAGTAGAGGTGGGGTTTCACCATCTTGGCCAGGCTGGTCTTGAACTCCTGTCCTTGTGATCCACCTGCCTCAGCCTCCCAAAGAGCTGGGATTACAGGCGTGAGCCATTGTGCCCAGCCCTAATTTTATTCTTTAACTCATCTGTTACCCCATGTGCTTAAATTTCTACAGCCTTGTAATAATAACAACATATTAGCCTGCTTAAATTTCTACAGCTCTGTAATAATATATTAAGTAAGATACACGATTTATGTAAACATTTGTGCAAATCAGCCTTGCAATATTTCATCCCCTACAAAGCTATGAAATTCATCTGGTGAACTCTTATTGACTACCAAGACTAGAATCAGGACATTCAGGTTATTAACTATATCTCAAAAAAAGTCATCTCAAAAAAGTTCAATCTGAAAATTCAACGTTTTAAATTGCTCCAACTTTAAGGTTCTAAACAGTCCCTTTATGGCACAGGAACAAATTTGACCTCCTCAGTATAATTAAGAGAAATACATCCTTACCTAGCCTCAGCATTGTTTTTTTTTTTTTAAAAACTACTCTCTCAACTCTATACCCTTCAGCCAACTTCAAGGCATACTGATATCTTAATGATTTTTCACATATGTCAAGCTTATCTCTACCCCTGCTGTTGCCTTACCTAAGGTATGTCCTTACCCAAGCCGCTGCAACAATTCAAATCCTAAACTTATGCCAAGGCCTAGTTAGGTCACCTGACTTACACTTAATTGAAAGCTCCATAAACATAGGGACTCTGTCTGCTATTTATTCTGAATCTCTCATTCTACAAATGAGAGAATCTATAAATTGTAACCTTTTATAGAATAAGCAGCAGTCAAGCACTGACTTGGAAGAATAGTTAGAGCCAGCATTTACTACTGAATACTGATAGCCCCTGACTTACAATGGTTTTACTTGGTACTTTTCAACTTTATGATGGTATAAAAGTGATACACATTTAGTAGAGAAACCATACTTTGAGTAGCCACACATTCTGTTTTTCACTTTCAGTATTTTACACAAGATATTTAACATTTTATTACAAAATTAAGTGTACTTTTTTTTTTTTGAGATGGGAGTTTTGCTCTTGTTGTCTAGGCTGGAGTGCAATGGCACTATTTCAGCTAACTGCAACCTCTGCCTCCTAGGTTCAAGCGATTCTCCTGCCTCAGCCTCCCAAGTAGCTGGGATTATAGGCATGCACCACCACGCCCAGCTAATTTTGTATTTTTAGTAGAGGGTTTCTCCATGTTGGTTAGGCTGGTCTTGAACTCCTGACCTCAGGTGATCCACTAGCCTCAGCCTCCCAAAGTGCTGGGATTACAAGCATGAGCCACCGCGCCCAGCCTACATTATATGTATTAAATGCATTTTTGATTTTACACTATTTGCAACTTATGATGACTTTATTGGGATGTAGCCCAATTAAGTCAAGGAGCACCCATACTATAAAAATTCACATAGATAAATAAATTTCTTTTTTATTTTTTCTTTGAGATGGAGTCTTGCTCTGTTATCCAGGCTGGAGTGCAGTGGCGCGATCTCAGCTCACTGCAAACTCCACCTCCCAGGTTCAAGTGACTTCCCTGCCTCAGCCTCCCATGTAGCTAGAATTATAGGCACACATCACCATGCCTGGCTAATTTTTGTATTTTTAGTAGAGACAGGGTTTCACCATGTCAGTCAGGCAGGTCTAGAAATTCTGACCTCAAGTGATCCACCTGCCTCAGGCTCCCAAAGTGTTTGATTACAGGCATGAGCCACGGTATCTGACCAAGAAATTTCTGATAACTTGTTCACCAGAATCAAGGGTATTCCTCAGTGCAACAGTATGCAAAGAAAGTATCACTTAATAGATTTCTTCTCTAATTTCTTTATAACTTATATTTTAGTTCTGCTTTAGTTTAAAAAATATCTCGCTGGCTTTATTAATTTTATAGGTAATTTATGCCTGTAAAAACATTAAATTACTGAAATTTAATGTTCTATAAAAGCATTAAATTACTGAAATATGACAAGCACAAATATGACAATTACAGGCTCATGCCTGTAATTCCAGCACTTTGGGAGGCTGAGGTGGGTGGATCACATGAGGCCAGGAGTTCAAGACCAGCCTGGTCAACATGGCGAAACTCTGTCTCAACTTAAAAAAAAATTAGCCAGGTGTGGTGGTGTGTGCCTGTAATCCCAGCTACTGACGAAGCTGAGGTGGAGAATTTCTTGAACCCAGGAGGCTGATGTTGCCGTGAGCTGAGATTGTGCCACTGCACTCCAGCCTGGGTGACAGCGCAAGATTCTGTCTCAAAACAACAAAAACATTAAATTACTGAAATAAGAAATTAAAACTTACCCATAATCTCTTTATTAAAAGATAACAGTTTAGCATATTCATTTGAAGGCCCTTTTAAAACTCACAAACTTTTTTTTTTTTGAGATGGAGTCTCACTCTGTTGCCCAGGCTGGAGTGCAGCGGCATGATCTCAGCTCACTGTAACCTCCGCCTCCCAGGTTCAAGCAGTTCTCCTGCCCCAGCCTCCCAAGTAGCTGGGATTACAGACATAAGCCACCATGCCCGGCCCACAAACTTTTTTTTTTTTTTTTGAGATGGAGTTTCGCTCTTGTTACCCAGGCTGGAGTGCAATGGTGCGATCTCGGCTCACTGCAACCTCCGCCTCCTGGGTTCAGGCAATTCTCCTGCCTCAGCCTCCTGAGTAGCTGGGATTACAGGCATGCGCCACCATGCCCAGCTAGTTTTTTGTATTTTTAGTAGAGACGGGGTTTCACCATGTTGACCAGGATGGTCTCGATCTGTTGACCTCGTGATCCACCTGCCTCGGCCTCCCAAAGTGCTGGGATTACAGGCTTGAGCCACCGCGCCCGGCCAAACTTTTTTTTTAATGTGTAAAACTATACTGTACAATCTGTTCTGTGAACTCTTTGATGCAATATATCAAAGAATTAATTACTTTTAATTACTTTACAAGCATTAAAAAATAATGCTTGTAAAGTAATTAAGTTTTTAAAAGCATTAAAAATTAATGTTTTTAAAGTAAGTAACAGTTGCATCAATCTCTATTGTATTAATGTACCACAGGTAACAGGACACTTGATACCATCTTTATTATGATACCATAATGAATATTTCTATCTAAATCTTAGTACACATCTTTTTTAAGAAATAAATGTCCACAAGTGGAACTAAGGGTATAAAGCTTTAAACACTTAATATACATTGACTGATTGCCTTCTAAGAAAGCTTTATCATAATTAGGAGGGTAGATACAAAATAGCTTGGCAAAGTTGCAGGAAAAGAATAAATACACAAGAAGTTAATTCTTCTCTACACCCTCAAATGATTTCTTCAACATTTAATGAGAAGACACTTACAGCTCTGAAATGCTAGGTTTAACATGAGGGCCAATTCATTTTCTTTTAAAATCATACACATAAAACTTTGGTTTTTCTGTCACATTGCCTCTGTTGAATAAAGATTTTGTTCCCAGAGAATAAAATCACATACAAGAACAATCTGTATGTATGTGTACATGTGAAAAAAAATGGCTAACACACTAGAGTCAATGGAAAGCTGGCTGACAAGCCAAAGCTGGGGAAATACTCTTTGTAATGCTATACACTTTAAGCCAAATGCTTAACATGTTGGTCAGAAGAACTGAGACACAGGAAATAAGCATATATAGTACTTGTAGTTATATAAAGTATTTTGAGAAACTTGAGCCCCAAATAGTTCATATTTTTGGTCCATACCCTTTTGACTGCTGGCTGAAAGCAGTCTGCATCTCCGGAATTTCCATCCATGCTGCTGGGCTCACTATTGTGTTCATTTTGTGCTTCTCTTAAAACGAAGGGGAAAAAGAAGTTAACGTTAAAAACCACAAGCAAAGCAACACCACAACTCCATCTAGATATCCTGAAAAGCCCAGTTACTGAACCTTTGCATTTATACTTAACTGTTTCCTGAGTCCAGCTGCCAAGACCATGGCACTGTGATGGTTAAATCTCTTGATGATGGCAGCATTACTATTCTCTTTTATTGATTTAGAACTGGAAGCAGATGGCACAGAAGAAATGCCATAGCCCTGTGAGAAATAATTCAGTAGAGTAAAAAATTTTTTAAAAAGGTTCTGCTTTTCTTTTTTATAAAAGACATGCTTAATTGAAAAAATCTGTTGGATGATGGGACTGTATTAATTCTCATGAACATTGCTATTTACGAGGAAATATTTAAAAACAAGTGACATTAAACACATAAAAGATTAAAAAACAGCACTAACTTGTTTTAGCATCATAAAATACCATTAAACTGCATTTCCCTCTCATTTGTTTCTTTTATTAGATGGAGTTTCACACTCTCGCTCAGGTTTGAGTACAGTGGCACTATCTCAGCTCGCTGCAACCTTTGCCTCCTGGGTTCAGGTGATTCTCCTGCCTCAGCCTTCTGAATAGCTGGGATTACAGATGCCTGCCATCATGCCCAGGCTAATTTTTTTGTGTTTTTAGTAGAGATGGGGTCTCACCACGCTCGCCAGGCTGATCTTGAACACCTGACCTCAAGTAATCCACCTACCTCGGCCTCCCAAAGTGCAGGGATTACAGGTGTGAGCCACCATGCCTGGTGTGCATTTCTCTTTTAAAGAACAATTTGGATCTAGTGAGCAAAACATTAAACAAAAAGAATAAAGGCCGGGACACCTGTAATCCCAGCACTTTGGGAGGCCAAGGCTAGCAAGTCACCTGAGGTCAGGAATTTGAGACTAGCCTGGGCAACATGGTGAAACCTCATGTCTACCAAAAATACAAAAATTAGCTGGGCGTGGTGGCACATACCTATAATCCCTGCTACTCAGGAGGCTGAGTGAGGCAAGAGAATCACTTGAACACAGGAGGCAGAGGTGGTAGTGAGCAGAGATTGCGACACTACACTCCAGCCTGGGTGACAGAGCAAGACTCCGTCTCCAAAAAAAAAAGGAAAAGTAAATAAAAGGAATAGAATATAGTGGGGAAAAACAGAGACTATAGATTCAAAAATATAAAGAGTCAAATTCTTTTTTTAACATTAGGCAAGACAATCAACTTTCTCAAGCTCTATAAAGTAGGATATTAGAGAATAAAATGAGATTATATTTTAAAACATGTATTGAGTTACATGCATGCTACTTGCTAGACCCTGCAGACACAAAATTGATCAGATCCCATGTTATAGGTGCCTAAATACTAGTTAGTGGGAAACTGGGCTGGAGAGAATTACTAGTCAATCCCCACTAGAGAAGAGAGTTTGAAAAATCTTCACGGAGAACCATTAAGATAAACTGGTGCCTGCCAAGTAGATCAGGGAAACAGTAACATTTCAGGAAGAAACTGCTTAAATAAAGGTAAAGAGGCACTGTGGTCCTGATTATTTGGGAGGTTGAGGCAGAAGAATTGTTGAGCTGAGGCGTTCAAGTCCAGCCTGGCAACACAGTGAGACCCTGTCTCTATTTAAAAATAAAACAAAACAAAAGCAAAGAACAATGTAGTACATATTGTGTCATCAGTCTGTATATGGTTCAGTATACTGAGAAATAATGGCAGTCCAGGAATTGGAGAGGTTAAAAAGGTAAAAGAAAGATCGTAAGACTCATACGTGTGGTATGCAGTGGCTCATGCCTGGAATCCCAATACTCTGGGAAGCCGAGGCAGGTGGATCACCTGAGCTCCGGAGTTCAAGCCCAGCCTGGTCAACATAGTGAAACCCTATCTGTATTAAAAATACAAAAATTAGCTGGGTGTGGTGGTGTGTGCCTGTGATCCCAGCTACTCAGGAAGCTGAGGCAGAATTGCTTGAACCAGGGAGGCGGAGGCTGCAGAGAGCGCAGATCACACCACTGCACTCCAGCCTGGGTGACAGAGCACGACTCCGTCTGAAAAACACCACCACCACCACCACCCCAAAAAACCCCATATGCTGTTCATCCACGTATCAAAGAATTACTAAGTGATTGTTATATGACACGTGCTGGGAACAGGCCAATAAACAAGAACAAAGCTTCATGAAGCTTATACTCTGAGAGGGCAGTGAATGGAATTATCAGGTAAAACAAGGTAAACATCACTTTTTTTTTCTGAAAGATGGAAAATGTTATGAATACAATAGAGGGTAACATGATGAAGTGACTGAATTTGTGGGTGGTTAGAGAAAGACTCTCTGATGAAGCAACATTTTTAAAAAAATTTTAAATTTAGATTTTTATTTTTTTTGAGACAGGTTCTTGCTCTGTTGCCCAGGCTGGAGAGCAGTGGCACGATCACAGCTCAATGCAGCCTCAACCTCCTGGGCTCAAGTGATCCTCTCGCCTCAGCCTCCCAAGTAGCTGGGACTACAAGTGTATACCACTATGCCCAGCGAATTTTTAAATTAAAAAAAAAAGTTTAGGGCTGGGCACGGTGGCTCATGCCTGTAATCCCAGCACTTTGGGAGGTCGAGGCGGGTGGATCACAAGGTCAAGAGATTGAGACCATCCTGGTCAACATAGTGAAACCCCGTCTCTACTAAAAATACAAAAAATTAGCTGGGCATGGTGGCACGTGCCTGTAATCCCAGCTACTCAGGAGGCTGAGGCAGGAGAATTGCCTGAACCCAGGAGGCGGAGGTTGCGGTGAGCCAAGATCGCACCATTGCACTCCAGCCTGGGTAACAAGAGAGAAACTCCATCTCAAAAAAGTTTAGAGATAGGGTCTTGCAATAGTTGCCCAAGCCGGGCTCAAACAATCCTCCAACCCTAGCCTCCCAAAGTGCAAGGATTAAAGGTGTGAGCCACCCCACCTGGCAAGAAGAGATATTAGAACAGATGTCTAAAGATAGGCAGAAGCAGCCAGGCATAGTGGCTCACACCTATAATCCCAGAACTTTGGGAGGCTGAGGCGGGTGGATTCACGAGGTCAGGAGTTTGAGACCAGCCTGGCTAATATGGTGAAATCCCATCTTTACTAAAAAATATAAAAAATTGGCAAGCCATGGTGGCGTGCGCCTGTAGTCCCAGCTACTCAAGAGGCTGAGACAGAAGAATAGCTTGAACCCGGGAGGCAGAGGCTGCAGTGAGCAGAGATCGAATCACTGCACTCCAGCCTGGGCAAGAGTGAGACTCTATTGCAAAAAAAAAAAAAAAAAAAAAGGAAAAGGGCAGAAGTTGGTTAGGGATAAGCAGGGAGAAGAACAGTAAGTACATAGGCCCTGATCCTGAGGTAGAAAAAGCATGGCATGGAACTGAAATGTCATTATGTCCAAAGCATTCATGAATGGAAGTAGCCCCACCTGAGATGTATACAGGAGCCAAATTAAGCAGTCTTGCAGGAGTTTTAAGTTTATTCTAATTTCAATGAGAAGATAATGAAGTTTCACATAGGGGATTACTAGGCTCTGATTTATAATTCTTTTTTTTTTTTTGAGATGGAGTCTTACTCTGTCGCCCAGGCTGGAGTGCAGTGGCGGAATCTTGGCTCACTGCAGCTTCTGCCTCCCGGTTTCGTGATTCTCTTGCAATCAGCTGCGTAGCTGATTACAGGCATGCACCACCAACACCTGGCTAATTTTTGTATTTTTAGTGCAGATGGGGTTTCACCATTTTGGCCAGGCTGGTCTGAAACTCCTGACCTCAGGTGATCTGCCCATTTCGGCCTCCCGAAGTGCTGGGATTACACTGCGCCTGGCCTGTATTATAATTCTTACTGCTAGAGGAGAATAAACTATAAAAGACAATAGAGCAAAAATACAGGTCAATTAGGTGGTTAAGGCAAGCAAACAGGCCAAATACAGTAATACCTTAAACATGAATGGGACATAAGTGTCTGTGTAGATCCCACAGATGAGAACTGTATTGTACAAGGCTTGCTGATACACTGAATGCTGGACGTAAAAGGAGGAAAACATGGCTGGCTGCAATGGCTCACACCTGTAATCTCAGCACTTTAGGAGGCTGAGGTGGAAAAACAGCTTGAGCCCAGGTGTTTGAGACCAGCCTGGGCAATGTAGCAAGACCCTGTCTTTACAAAAAATAAAAACAATTAGCCAGTTATGGTAGGTAGCCTGCTCTACAGTCCCAGCTATTCAGGAGACTGAAGCAGACTGCTTGAGCCCAAGAGGTCAAGGTTGCAGTAAGCCACGATTGTGCCACTGCATTACAGCCTGGGCGACAGAGTGAACCCATTATAAAAAAGAAGAGTGAGAATCAAGGAGACTTGCCGACTCCCAGGCTAACTGTAATGCTTTTTACTAAGACAGGGAATACCCACAGAGATAGGCTTATGAGGATTGGAATCAAAGGTTCCATTATGGACATGTGAAGTTGAGATGTCTATGAAATACCTCAGTGCAGATGTCAAGTAGGCAGCTGGAGCTCTGCAGTCAAAGTCAGACTGTGGTTATCTGGAATTCATCATTATGTAACAAGAATTTTTTTTTTTACACCCTCCCCTGTTCCCCATATCTAGTAAAGCAATGGAATACAGAGAATGCATTAAGGAGGCCAGAGATCATAGCCTGTGACAGTTACTACAATCAGAAGATTGATAAGGGAAGAAGAAACACTAAAGGAAAAACTGCACCAGCGAACACTTGTAGTAAAAGGATTGGTTATATAAATGTTGATATACTCATACCAATGGAGTATTATGCAGGCATTTGAAAACATAGTTACAATAGTAACACCTATTACCTACTACTTATCATGCACTAGATTCTTTTAACTCACAGAAATCCTATAAAGCAAGCAGAATTAGCCTCACTGAGGAAAACAAAAACAAAAATTGGCTAGGGCCGGGTGAAGTGGCTCACGGTTGTAATCCCTGCCCTTTGGGAGGCTGAGGTGGGCGGATCACTTGAGGTCAGGAGTTTGAGACCAGCCTGCTCAATATGGAGAAACCCTGCCTCTACTGAAAATACAAAAATTAGCCAGGCATGGTGATGTATGCCTGTGATCTCGGCTACTAGGGAGGCTGAAGCAGGAGAATCACTTGAACCCAGGAGGCAGAGGTTGCAGTCAGCTGAGCTCATGCCACTGCACTTCAGCCTGGGAAACAGAGTGAGACTCCAGCTCAAAACAAAAACAAAACCAAACTCGGCTTGGATTCCATTTGACCCAGCAATCCCATTACTGTGTATATACCCGAAGGATTAGAAATCAATCTATCATAAAGACACATGCACATGTATGTTCACTGTGGCACTGTTTACAACAGTAAAGACCTGGAACCAACCCAAATGCCCATCAATGATAGACTGGACAAGGAAAATGTGGCACATATACCCCATGGAATACTATGCAGCCATAAAAAACGATCAGTTTGTGTCCTTTGTAGGGACATGAATGAATCTGGAAACCATCATTTTCAGCAAACTGACACAAGAACAGAAAATTAAACACTGCATGTTCTCACTCATAGATGGGTGTTGAACAGTGAGAACACATGCACACAGGGAGGGGAGCATCACACACTGGGGTCTGTTGCGGGGTGGGCTAGGGTAGGGACAGCAGAGGGTAGGGAGGTTGGGGAGGGATAACATGGAGAGAAATGCCAGATATAGGTGACAGGGGATGGAGGCAGCAAACCACCTTGCCATGTATGTACCTATGCAACAATCTTCCATGATCTGCACATGTACCCCAGAACCTAAAGTACAATTGAAAAAATATATATTATAGTATTGGAAGTTCTAGCCAGAGCAATTTGGCCAGAAAAAAAAAATTAAAGGGTATTCAACTAGGAAAGGAGGAAGTCAAATTGTCTGTCTGCAGATGACATCATTATATATTTAGAAGACCCTATCATCTCAGCCCAAAATCTCTTGAAACTGATAAGCAACTTCAGCAAAGTCTCAGGATACAAAATCAATGTGCAGAAATAGCAAGCATTCCTATACACCAATAACAGACTACCAGAGAGCCAAATCATGAGTGAACTCCCATTCACAATTGCTACGAAGAGAATAAAATACCTAGGAATACAACAAAGGATGCAAAGGACCTCTTCAAGGAGAACTACAAAGCACTAATCAAGGAAATAAGAGAGAGCATAAACAGATGGAGAAACATTCCGTGGTCATGGTTAGGAAGAATCAATATCGTGAAAATGGCCATATTGCCCAAAGTAATTTATAGATTCAATGCTATCCCCATCAAGCTACCAATGACCTTCTTCACAGAACTGGAAAAAAACCACCTTAAACTTCATATGGAACCAAAAGAGAGTCCACATAGCCAAGTCAATTCTAAGCAAAAAGAACAAAGCCGGAGTCATTATGGTACCTGACTTCAAACTATACTACAAGGCTACAGTAATCCAAACAGCATGGTACTGGTACCAAAACAGAGATATAGACCAATGGAACAGAATAGAGGCCTCAGAGGAAATACAACATATCTACAACCATCTGATCTTCGACAAACATGACAAAAACAAGCAATGGGGAAAGGATTCCCTGTTTAATAAATGGTGTTGGGATAACTTGCTAGCCATGTGCAGAAAGCAGAAACTGGACCCCTTCCTGACACCTTACACTAAAATTCACCCCAGATGGATTAAAGACTTAAACATAAGACCTAACACCATAAGAATCTAGAAGAAAACCGAGGCAAAACCATTCAGGACATAGGCATAGGCAAGGACTTCATGACTAAAACACCAAAAGCATTGGCAGCAAAGGCCAAAACAGACAAATCGGACCTAATTAAACTCCAGAGCTTCTATACAGCAAAAGAAACAATCATTAAAGTGAACTGGCAATCAACAGAATGGGAAAAAATTTTCACCCTCTACCCATCTGACAAAGGGCTAATATCCAGAATCCACAAAGAACTAAAACAGATTTACAAGAAAAAAAGCAAACCCATCCAAAAGTGGGCGAAAGATATGAATATACACTTTACAAAAGAAGACATATATGAGGCCAACAAACATTGAAAAAAGGTCTCATTATTAGAGAAATGCAAATCAAAACCACATTGAGATACCATCTCACGCTAGTTAGAATGGTGATCATGAAAAATACTGGAGACAACAAATGCTGGAGAGGATGTGGAGAAATAGGAACACTTTTACACTGTCGGTGGGAGTGTAAATTAGTTCAACCATTGTGGAAGACAGTGTGGCACTTCCTCAAGGACCTAGAAATAGAATTTCCGTTTGACCCAGCAATTACATTACTGGGTATATATCCAAAGGATTATAAATCATTCTATTATAAAGACACATGCACACGTATGTTCATTGTGGCACTGTTTACAATGGCAAAGACCTGGAACCAACCAAAATGTCCATCGATGATAAACTGGACAAGGAAAATGTGGCACATATACACCATGGAAAACTATGCAGCCATAAAAAACGATGAGTTTGTGTCCTTTGTAGGGACATGGATGAATCTGGAAACCATCATTCTTGGTAAAATGACACAAGAAAAGAAAATCAAACACCGCATGTTTTCACTCATAGGCAGGTGTTGAACAATGAGAACACATGGATGCAGGGAGGGAAGCATCACACACTGGGAGAGGGACAGCGGTGGGGTGAGGAGGTTAGGAAGGGATAACATGGGGAGAAATGCCAGATATAGGTGACAGGGGGATGGAGGCAACAAACCACACTGCCAAGTATGTACCTATGCAACAATCCTGCATGATCTGCACATGTACCCCAGAACCTAAAGTACAATAAAAAACCAACAAAAAAAACCACCAAACAACAAAAAACAACAACAAAAAACTGGACTTGGAAATGTTAGAAAATATCAGAATCTAAGTCAGCTAGTTTGGTTTTAAAGTCTATGTTTTAAATTATGGGATAATCGGTTTATGTAGATATTGATAATAAGCACAAGATAAAGTTATAAATGTACTGTACAATATGCCATCATGTTTATTTTAAAGGAAAAAAAAATCTTTCCCATTATACTAAGTTATAAGTCTAAGTGCCACTAAGCTTTATTTTCTCAGGATAATTAAAGAGGGCTATGTTTGTACAGATTATGTACATTGAAAATATCATACATGAAAATACACTGGCCGGGTGCAGTGGCTCATGCCTGTCATCTGAGCACCCTGGGAGACCAAGGCAGGTGGATCACCTGAGATCAGGTGCTTGAGACCAGCCTGGCCAACAGGGTGAAACCCCATCTCCACTAAAAATACAAAAATTAGCTGGGCATGGTGTCATGCACCTGTAATCCTTGCTACTTGGCAGGCTAAGGCAAGAGAATCACTTGAACACGGAAGGTGGAGGCTGCAGTGAGCTGAGATGGTGCCACTGCACTCCAGCCTGAGCAACAGAGAGAAACTCTGTCTTAAAAAAAAGCAAGAAAATGAAAATTCTGGCTTAGAAGACAGAGATAGGGATGAAATTTAAGTCTGGAGTCATGATGCTGAGGTAGGTAGGTCATACATAATGGTCTAGGTTGCTGAAACATATTGGGGCTGGTGTGGCGTAAGGGTCATGAGAGTGCTTAAGGTTTGGCAGATATAAGCGATCAACAAATGTTTATTGATCTTATTAATTTATATCCATATTTCTTTAGATTAAATGTTAGCTAGGATGGCATCTCAGGCAGAAGAATTGCTTGAATCCAGGAGGCGAGGTTGCAGTGAGCTGAGCTTATGCCACTGCACTCAAGCCTTAGCATAAAGCTGGACTCATCATGCTAAGCCTTGATTATTACTATAGAACTGTGGATGGGGGAGCTAGAATTTTTTTTTTTTTTTTTTTTTTTTGAGATGGAGTTTTGCTCGTTACCCAGGCTGGAGTGCAATGGCGCGATCTCGGCTCACCGCAACCTCCGCCTCCTGGGTCCAGGCAATTCTCCTGCCTCAGCCTCCTGAGTAGCTGGGATTACAGGCACGCACCACCATGCCCAGCTAATTTTTTGTATTTTTAGTAGAGACGGGGTTTCACCATGTTGACCAGGATGGTCTTGATCTCTTGACCTTGTGACCCACCCGCCTCGGCATCCCAAAGTGCTGGGATTACAAGCTTGAGCCACCGTGCCCGGCCTAGAAATTTATTTTTTAAAAGTTTTAGCAACTCACACAGGAATTTCATTTCTTCTAGTCAATTTTAATGGTAAACAATGCTATTTCAAAGCACTTCCGATAAATCACTTCAAACAACAGTATTTTGCATATTTAACAGTCTCACAAGTGGAATAGGTCTACACTTAAGACAACGTTGAAGACTAGGAAAAGACTCTTTTCTCTCAAAATTTCTTTTATTGCTTCTTACCTCATCTAATGGTTTATCTTCCAAAGCTGTTAAATCTAGTAGTGGGTTTTTCACTCCTAATGAAACCATTGTTTTTAGGCCTAGGAAATCAATGAAATACAAAGTTCAGTATGTCTTATCCGTCTCAGAAATTAACACCTATAATGATTAGAGAGTGGCCAGTTAAAGACCAGTGTCTATAAAGAGATAAACAGTTACCTTTTTCATCTATTTTGGCACATTCTGCAAAGAGATCCTTTGACCCTGTATTCAGCCGATCCCTGTGAAAATAATGGGATTGGAAAAAACGTGTCCAGAATTCCTTCTCTGTCATGTTGTGGGGAACATTTTCTGCGTATTTCATTTTTACTGTGGGGGAAAAAATACAAGAAAACATTATATACTGAATTTCCATTTTTAAAACCTCTCAAATTAGGTAACTGAAATACAAACTAATAGCAAACTCTAGTCCATAAAGCTCTCAACTCTACATACTGTAAGTTATAATTTAATTATAAATATAAAACATAACTTGAGAGATTAGGCGAGGTATGACCTCTATAAATCTTACAATTACAAACAAAACCTTATTTTGCACCAAGAGAATAAAGTTTTGAAGTTTTAGTAGAAATACCAAGAATCTAAGGAAATCTTACAAACAAAACCTTATTTTGTACCAAGAGAATAAAGTTTTGAAGTTTTAGTAGAAATGCTAAGCATCTAAGGAGTCAGACTCAAGTCTGCTTGTTTGCTCATTTATACATGTGTACTCTCAATCCAAAGCACAGTGTTAGCTGGTGGGGAAATAAAGATCTCAATATCCACTGAACTGTCAGCTCAGCACTCCAGGAACTTACTTACATTCTAGCAAGCATAGAGTTCAACAGCTTGGTTTCTTGAGCTCTGAGTTTAAAATTCTAGGTCTGACACTTTCTGTGTTACCCTGAGCAAATTACTTAATCTTCCTGTACCTTGGTTTTCACATCTGGAAAATGAAGGTCAAAACGGTACCTCTACTTCATAGGTGAATGTGATGATTAAATCAGTTACTATAGAAAAAGGCCTTAGAATAGGTGTCTGGCGCATAATAAACAGTACACAATTATGTTACTATGAGAAAGACACGAAAGAGCCAGGTGCTGTGGCTCACACCTGTAATCCCAGCACTTCGGGAGGCCAAGGCAGGCAGATCACTCGAGGCCAGCAGTTCAAGAACAGCCTGGCCAACTGAGTGAAACCCTGTCTCACAAAAAATACAAAAATTAGTGTGGTGGTACATGCCTATAGTCCCAGCTACTTGGGAGGTGGAGGTAAGAGAATCACTTCAACCCAAGAGGTGGAGGTTGCAGTGGGCCAAGATTGTGCCATTGCACTCCAGCCTGGGTGACAGAGCAAGACTAAAAAAAAAGAGATGGGATCTTGTTTTGTTGCCCAGGCTAGTCTTGAACCCCTGCACTCAAGGGATCCTCCTGCCTCAGCCTCCTGGAGTGTTGGAATTACAGGTGTGAACCACTGGGCCTTGCCAGGATTTCATAAGGGCCGAAATGAGGTGATGCTTGAGCTGAGTCCTGAGGGAGAGATTCCTAAGGACTAAAGGGGTAAGAGTGGGGAAGAGGGAAGAGAGAACAGAACACAGCTTAAGAGAGTATCGTTTAGTCAGAAGAATGACTGATACAGTGGCTCTCACCCTCATCTTTACATAATAAATCCCTGAGGCTGGGGTCAAGGCATCTATACTTTTAGGATGGCATCCTGTGTGGGAAGTAATTTGTGGATTAGGAAGGTCACTCTGGATGCAGTATGAAAGATGATCTGAGTTAGCACTGTAGACAGACTCATTTATTGATGTCTCTGCAGAATGCCATCTCACTCAGGTATGTTGAGAGCTAAATAAAGTTTAAGAACCACTGATGAAAAGAATGGCAGTCATTGTATCAGTGAATTGATGACAACACATTTATTATTACTATTATTATTATTACTATTTTGAGATGGAGACTCGATTTGTTTCCCAGGCTGGAGTGCAGTGGCAAGAGGTGGAGGTTGCTCACTGCAACCTCCACCTACTGGTTTCAAGCAATCCTCCTGCCTTAGTCCCCCTAGTAGCTGGAATTACAGGCATGCATCACCACGCCCAGCTAATTTTTATATTTTTAGTGGAGATAGGGCTTTGCTATGTTGGCCAGTTCAGTTTTGAACTCCTGACCTCAGGTGATCACCCGCCCTGGCCTCCCAAGTGCTGGGATTACAGGCGTGAAGAACCATTGTGCCTGGCCCCTAAGTAGAGATGGGGTTTCTCCATGTTGGTCAGGCTGGTCTCAAACTCCTGACTTCAGGTGATCCGCCTGCCTCAGCCTCCCAAAGTGCTGGGATGACAGGCATTGAGCCACTGCGCCTGGCCGACGACAACACATTATTTACTGAGCCCTTATTATCTACCGTATGTCAGACACTGGGTAAAGTACTTTCCATAATTTATTCCACTTTATCAAGAATAAATGTGAAGCTTTTTGTTTTTCACTGATATCCTATTGAATATATTCACATATTTTAACCATCTGAAAGAACTGATTCTTCTTACCTGCTGGATAGGTCCTAAATATGGACTCAATGATATCAGAAGTTAAATTGTATCTCAGACCATTACAGCCATCGGTCTGGGGCCGGACATCAGCCTAAAACAAAGACCATACACACATATATGTTAGAATATCAGGCAAAGATGGCTAAGGTCCCAGTAGGCATTGGACAAAGGTGGAAAAAAATTTTCTAAACTAACTGCATAGACAAAGTAAGTCCCTCACCTTCACTTTTTGCACAGAGGCAGGGCTCAAAAAGTACTGATTGGTTTCTCATGGTCTTAAGTGACCTACAAAATCTGCTTCTTTGGAAGTCTAATATGGTCAAATAGGCCTGTGTAAGTATGAAGGCAGAAAGCTAGCGGAGCTTTAAGATAAAACTTGTATAGTTATAAAAACCACTACAAATACTGGCTAGTAAATAATTAAATTAACAATAACTGGCTTTTTTGGGAAAGGTCTTATTAATTCACTTCACTAATAAGCAATCAAAAAAGATACCAAATGTACAAATAGTATTCAAAATTTTGTTCAATGTGTAAATACTATTCTGTTTCCACTAGAATACCAACTGAGTGAATTCCATTCTGTAATTCCATAGATAAGGTATTCTCAATTTTTATATTAGATATAGTTTACAAATCTTACATTTTCTATAATATGGTCATGATACATTTAACTTTGTATTGTAAGTAAAATAGAGATTTTAAAAGGCACCAGGAAGTCCTGTATTTGAAAATATTAAGTATTAGTCCAAACTCTAAAAGAGTCATTTTCAAATTCCATTTGACTACCATCATGCTAGGGTCAAGTCCAAAGGCCAAGAAAACATAACTGGTAAGAAGAAATATAAATTTTTAAAAATTGTATGTATTTTAAAAACATTCTGGAAGAGGCTGAGTGTAGTAGCTCACACTTGGAATCCCAGAGCTTTGGCAGGCTGAGATGGGAGGATTGCTTGAGGCCAGGCATTTGAGACCAGCCTGGGAAACACAAGAGCTGCCCCCTGCTCTATAAAATAATAAAATTTAGCAAGGCAAGGTGGTACACATATTTAGTCCCAGCTACTTGAGAGGCTGAAGAGGATCGCTTGAGCCCAGGAGTTTGAGGCTACAGTGAGCTATCACTGTGCCACTGCACTCCAGTCTGGGTGACAAAGTGAGGACCCTGTCTTTTAAAAACAAACAAAAATATTAATAGTTCAATAATGACAAAGAATACCATGGATACTGAATTTTCCATTCACTTCCTTTAAGGAAATGCTGGTTTTACAAAAGAAATAATGGTCTTAAGACACATATTGGGGTTTACATTTTTTTTTTTTAACTTCAGAAATCTAGAAGTGTCACATACCAGAAATGCAGCAGAAATGCCAACATCCTGCTTATGATTGGATGTGGAAGAACTATCTGTTGCATTCACATTTAAACGATTGGCCCAGAATTCCTCAGCACTGATCACTTGACTCACAACAAGGTCTTTATAAAGCTGAAACAAAACAGGATCTTCTTGCAGCATTCTGTAAGATAGAATATACTGATTATAACTGAACTTTTAGAATAAAACACCACTTAGGTACATTTTAAAAATATTTTGGCAACATAAAACATTGAAACACACAACTTTTATTTTGTGATGACTGAGCAGCAGAGGTCATTCAGTTCATTTTTCAGTAATTAAAAGCAAAATACCCCACATTTTTGGAGGAACAAATGAAGTGGTGATAAATGGAGGTAGGTGTAAAGAAAGAAAGATTAAACCCTTTGAGGGCATGTGTTTGATCTTATTTCTGTATCCCAGTGATTCAAAGATCACCATGTCAGTAGTGTACTGTCATCCATTGGTATCTAAGAATGATCAAGTCCCTTAAATAAACTGGTGCGTTTACATACAACCTATGTATATTCTTCCATATACGTAAATCATCTCTAGATTATTTTATAATATCAGATACAATTTAAATGTTATGTAAATAGTTGCTATACGGTATTTTTATTTGTATTAGGTTTAATTAGTGTATTGGTATTTTTTTCCTGAATACTTCTGATCAAAAGCTGTTCGAATATGTGGATGTAGAACTCCTGGACATGGAGAAATGAAGTATTCTCTTTCATATACAAAAGTGAAAAGGCAGGAGAGGGGGTATGCTTGAAATTTTCCAGCAATGAAGTTGTTTTTTTCTTTTTTGAGATGGAGTCTCCCTCTGTCACACAGGCTAGAGTGCGTCGGTAAGATCTCAGCTCACTGCAGCCTTTGCCTCCCAAGTTCACACAATTCTCCTGCCTCGGCCTCCTGAGTAGCTGGGATTACAGGTGTGCATTACCACGCTCAACTAAGTTTTATATATATATACACATATATATGTTTAATAGAGATGGGGTTTCACCATATTGGCCAGGTTGGTCTTGAATTTCTGACCTCAAGTGATCCACCCACCTCAGCCCTGCAAAGTGCTGGAATTACAGGCATGAGCCACTATGCCCCACCCTCAGCAATGAATTTTTCATGGTAATAAGCATGTACAGATATAAGCACTGATGGCCTGAAAGATATTGGTAATGGAATAATTACATATTGTAAGAAATTGTGGCCAGGCACTGTGGGTCACACCTGTAATCCGAATCCCGGCACTCTGGGAGGTCAAGACAGGTGGATCACTTGAGGTCAGGAGTTTGAGACCAGCCTGGCCAACATGGTGAAACCCTGGGTAACAGAGCAAGACTCTTGTCTCAAAAAAAAAAAAAAAAACCCAATTCAGTATTTTACATACTGTCTCCCTTTTTCAAAGTGTGAATCATTTTAGATTTCTTGTTCATAAGCATACTTCTAATGGCTTAGGGTCTTCTCTGTGACAGAGAACTGGGAAAAGAAATTAACAAACTTTAGCAGCTTCCAATTTCAGTTCTGCTCTTAAGCAGATGTTAGGCGTGATGCAGTTAATTCAGCTTCTGGGTTTGCACATTCTCATTTGCCCAAAGTCAAATAGGCAGTAAGACTTTAAAGCTGAAAACTAAACACTGAGTTAAAGATACTAGAGCCCATATTTTCCTACATTACAGTATCATAGCAAAAGTGGGGACAGATGGCTGCGCTTGGTGGCTCACACCTATAATCCCGGTACTTTGGGAGGCCAAGGCGGGTAGATCACCTGAGGTCAGGAGATCGAGACCAGGCTGACCAATATGGTGAAACCCTGTTTCTACTAAAACTAGCTGAGTGTGATGGCATGCACCTATAGTCCTAGCTACTCGGGAGGCTGAGGCAGAGGAATTGCTTGAACCCAGGAGGCAGAGGTTGCAGTGAGCCAAGATCGCACCACTGCACTCCAGTCTGGGTGACAGAGCAAGATTCTGTCTCAAAAAACAAACAAACAAAATAAAGTGGGAATAGCTAACAAACTATTACCCTACTAGGAAACTAGAGAGAACCCAGTATCTCTTTTCCAAAGGCTATTCTTTTCCTCCCACCTGTTCTTTTCTTCCAGTTCTTTATTTGCTTTCCTCTTGAATTTGGGCAGCAGCTGCTGAAGAAGGTCCTTTACTGCGTCTCGCTCTTTCACTGCTGTGCTTTCATTGGAAAAATGGAAGTTAGTTGTGTCCCCTGCATGCAGGACCAGCTGAAGCTGAATTTTAGCTTTTCCTTCTGGACTAATTTTCTGGCCTAAAAAGAAGCATGAGGGCAGTTAGATGATGACACTCACGCTGTGGAAATAACCATACAATAAGTTACTTCTCCCAAGAAGATTCAGGATTCCTTTGGGTTTTAACTGCCCTATTCCAATATTGATGCTTTTGCAGAATGCACTCTTCATAAATGATCTCATATAACCGGAGCATGCTCAATAAATTCACTAACACTCTGTGTCCTTCTCCAGTATTCTTTCTGTGCAGCACTTCTTACCGACTGCTACTCCCTCCAGATATTAACGGGCTTTTGTTTCCGTTCAACTAGGGCAGACCTCTTTAAAGCTTTCTGAATGTATTTTAAACAACTGTCCCCTATCAACATTATCATTAATAAAATGTCACATATCACGATCCAAAAGACTGCAAAATGCAGCCATGGCTTACCTATTCATTTTGGAAGGGAAATATGTAATTTTATATTCGAGAAATCTGGTGTCACCACTTTAATCAAGTTATCAAACATAGCCTCCTTAAAAGTGAGACAACCTAACACTATGTATGTTATTATTTTTGACCAAACGTTTAAGATGAATATATTCAAGCCTTTAGATCTGATTTTCAGTTTATAAAAAATACAGGTATATAGGAATAAATTAAAACCTTGAGGAGACAATCAGAAATATTCAGAATGTTTCATACTTGACAACACTATAGTCAAGTATGAAAGGGACTAAAAAGATGACAACTATATGAACCTAGATTAGACACTTTTTTTTTTTAACTATAAACATTATTGGGACAACCAATGGAAATGTAACAATGGCTATTTTAATTAATTAATTTATTTATTTTGGAGACGGAGTTTCACTTTGTCGCCCAGGTTGGAGTGCAGTGGACCGACCTTGGCTCACTGCAACTTCTGCCTCCTAGGTTCGAGATTCTCCTGCCTTAGCCTCCTCAGTAGCTGGGATTACAGGCATGCACCACCACATCCAGCTAATTTTTTTTGGTATTTTTAGTAGAGACAGGGTTTTACCATGTGGGTCAGGTTGGTCTCAAACTCCTGACCTTGTGATCCACCATGCGCGGCCAACAATGGCTATTTATTATTACAATGTTTTTAGTATGATAATGGTACTATAAGCAATAAAAGTGTACACACAAAACAATAAAGCAAATATGGCAAAATAATAACTATAATATCTAGGTGGGGCATATTACGTAAGTATTCACTGTACCTTCTTTAAAATTTTCTGTAATTTTGTCAGCTATGATAAGACCTACTGCTGCTTTCACATTAGTAATTTATTATTGTTAACTTTCAATTCCTTCTTTCAGATGTGGGCATTATCTTCAAATATTCAAGGTGAAACTGTTCTAGTACAAATCTAGTTTTGGGTACGTACTCCTTTCACCAATAACTGGAAAGAATTGTAAAGAAACTGGAGATGGGCATACCCTTTATTGTACACTGTGGTTATCACAATGCGTGTGTGTATTACAAAGCCATGGGGCTAGCATCCATTTGAGAGAGATGCTACTACAGACAGTTCCTAATTTATAAGTCTATTATTTTAGAAATGTTAGCAGCTAAGACTATTAGCTACTAATAGAAATTTGCAGGGCATTCTCACAGAAAGAAACTTTTAAAAAGAGGTACTATTACCAGGATAGTGGACAAAAGACTATATGGCTTAGGACTACTGAGCTATGACAAATTTTAAATAGTATTCTTTTTTGAAAATTAAGATTCTAAATTATTTCAGTGGAGAAACACAGGGATCTTGGTCATTTCCTGCAGCAAAGTAGAAGTAAGTCTTTGAGGCAGGGCAGTGGTTTATATACAAAGCAGTTTATAAATTGAGCACTTGCAAGTTGAGGGTGGTCTGTTTTGGGGGGTATCGTGTTGCTTGAAAGTATCACAGAATTTTATTTAGAAGAATCCTATGTCCAGGGAAATAAATGAATTCATATTAATGATTATAAAGTACGATAATTTGTCAAGGAGTTGATTACCGTAAGTTTCTCCTATTCAAGATCATTTATTTATTTATTTATTTATTTTTGAGATGGAGTCCTGCTCTGTCGCCCAAGCTGGAGTACAATGGTGTAATCTTGGCTCATGGCAACCTCCATCTCCTAGGTTTACGTGATTTTTCTGCCGCAGCCTCTGGAGTAGCTGGGATTACAGGCACATGCCACCTCTCTCGGTTAATTTTTCTATTTTTAGTAGAAATGGAGCTTCACCATGTTGGCCAGGCTGGTCTCAAACTCCTGACCTCAGGTGATCCACTTGCCTTGGCCTCCCAAAGTGCTAGGATTACAGGCATGAGCCACTGTGCCTGGCGCATGCTTGAAATTTATAAAAAGAAGTTGGGTGTGGTGGCTCATGCCTGTAATCCTAGCACTTTGGAAAGTTGAGGCGGGCGGATCATGAGGTCAGGAGTTCGAGACCAGCCTGATCAACATGGTGAAACCCTGTCTCTACTAAAAATACAAAAATTAACCGGGCATGGTGGTGCAGGCCTGTAATCCCACCTACTCAGGAGGCTGACGTAGGAGAATCACTTGAACCCAAGAGGTGGAGGTTACAGTAAGACAAGATTGCACCACTGCACTCCAGCCTGGGTGACAGAGCAAGACTCTGTCTCAAAAAAAAAAAAAAAAAAAACAGAAATTTATAAAAAGAAATTCTCTTCTCAACAGAAGATGGCCACATAAGCAAAGATCAGACAACCTGACTGGTACAATTTTAGTGAAGGAAAATCTGGCATCATCTATCAGCATTTTAAATGCATAAACCTGGCCAGGCATGGTGGTGGACGACTATAATCCCAGAACTTTGGGAGGATGAGGGAGGAGGGTTGCTTGAGGCCAGGAGTTTGAGACCAGCCTGGGTAACACAGGAAGACTCTGTCTCTACCAACACCACCACCAAAAATTGCATCAACTATTAAACAGGAAATTCTTTGCAGGAATGCATCCTACACACACAACCTTGAAATGATAGTAGTGCAAACATTGTTTGCAATAAAAGAAATGCTGGAAAGTTCCTAAATGTTCAACCACAGAGGGCTGGTTAAATACATGATTGTATATTCATTCAGTGGAGTATTATGCAACTCTTAAAGTGTGTGGAGAATCCATATGTGAAGTAGATTTACATATTATATATAAAGCCTGTACCTATTCTATTATTAAGTGAAAAGGTCAGGTTATAGAATAGTATATATTTAGTGACCCCATTTTGTAATTATTTCTACATGGTTGATTTTTTGATATAAAACACAAAGATTATTTATACAATCTTTTTATAAAATTACTAGCAAATATGAGACACACATATACATCAGAACTTAGTATAGCTGACTTACATTTAATATCTGCATACATATGGCTGATTGTAAATCTATCTTTGCCTTCAGGTGCCCAAGCAATTCTTTCTGCCATGAGGTATAGAGCTCCATCCTGCTTCTTTTGACGTACTTTCTTTACAATCAGCAGAACTTCTTCAGATGAGGTTGCCATGGTGGCTAGAGGTGGTAAGAAATTTAAAAAAAGATGAAGAAAAAATTATTCCACACATCAATCAGGGTTGAATTTGTTGACTTCTAGGGTCCCTTTCAAATATAAAATCTAAACTGTAGGAAATTAACAGGGAAGAAGAAAGTCTCTTTTCCCATTCAAAGTTGAAGATAAAGCTACATGGCAGTACTCCTCTACAATTAAATTTCATTTTGCTCATATCACAGGTATAAATTTATATAACACTTATATGCTAATGACTATTATCAATTTATTTTCCCCAGTTACATTCTTCAATCATATACACACAGTTTGTAAATGTGTGGTCTTTTATACAGTCTATATTTAGAATTGTAAAACTTTAGAATTACACAGTCATACTTATTATTTAGTTCAAATTTGTTTCAATTGAAACAACTAAGGTCTTCAAAATTTGTGGGGCCTTCCCAGAACTACTCCCAGAGCTAAAACCACACCAAATTTCTTGATTTCTGGTGGTTTTTTTTGTATACCAGAAAATAAAACTGAGAGAATAACACATGCTAATTTCCTATCTTGTAACATTCAAATATCTTCAACTGCTCTCCGTGTCTTGGCCATGATTCGCTGGTATAATGGCTGTTACCTAGGAAAGAATGTGGTCCCTCCAGCCCCATCCCCTGCCTGTGGGAATCTAAATGCTCAACCCAAATCCTCCAGGCTTGAGTGTGGCTGTCTGGAATCTGAGGCTGAAAAGAACTTTGAGGCTGTCTGGGCTCAGTAAGAAAGACTGCTGACTGATGGTGATGTCTGTCATGGGCTGGAATGGAGAAAGTTGTTGTGGCACCAATGCCACATATATGTCATTTCTTGTGAAGTTAGGACTTTAGTTTTCATTCCCAGAGGAATGGCTAAAATATAATTTAAGAATTACATCTGCCCTGGGCAAATAAGTGAAGTTTTACTGAAACATTTTTCCTGAGGTTAAAACAAATGAAAACAGGCTGAGTGAGGTGGCTTAACACCTGTAATCCCTGTGATTTGGGAGGCCAAGACAGGAGATATCACTTGAGCCCAAGAGTTTGAGATCAGCCTGGTCAACAAAGTGAGACCCCCATCTGTACAAAAAATGAAAAAAATAGCCAGGTGTGACAGTGCATATAGGTCTAACTACTTAGGAGGCCAAGGTGGGAGAACTGCTTGAGTCCAGGAATTTGAGGCTGCAGTGAGCTCTGATCACCTCACTGTGTTCCAATCTGGATGATAGAGACCCTGTTTCTAAACAAATAAAATGGGAACAGTAAAATACTGGATCTGCTGTAGTTATTCAAAATAACTGCAAACTTCTATTTGAACATAATGGAAAAATAAGGAAGAGAAGCATGGTAGGCATTAAATACAGTAAGAAACCAGAAACTGTTACATTACAAAAAGAAAAAAAATACCCAAAAACTATTTAAACCATCACCTCTTAAGATTAATAAACATGGCTGGGCACGGTGGCTCCTGTCTATCATCTCAGCACCTTGGGAGGCTGAGGTAGGTGGATGGCTTGAGCTCAGGAGTTCGAGACCAGTACGGGCAACATGGTGAAATCCCATTCCCCCTCAAAAAATACAAAAATTAGCTGGGCACAGAGATGTGCTCCTGCAGTCCCAGCTACTTGGAAGGCTGAGGTGGAACTACTTGAGTCTGGGAGGCAGAGGTTGCAGTGAGCTGAGATTACACCACTGCATTCCATCCTGGGGATGAAAGTGAAACTGTGTCCTGAAAACAAAGCAAAACAAACCACTGGATTTAAAAAATTACTTCTTATTCACTCAAACAATGAGTTAGAATTAAAAAATATAAGGGAAAAAAGTGAAATTTTGCTATCTTTGAAGTTGATTATCTCAATTATTAGTCAGATACCCCTTTTATAGGTCTTTACAGGCTATTCTATCTAGAGAAGAGATAGAAAATAGGTCAGTGTGAATACATTTATCCAATAAATTTGTACTGAGCCAAGGAGCCTGGGGGCTATCCAAAGATGAATGTCTGTGATTTCTGCTTTCAGAGATCTTCCAGTACAGAGACCAAGGTATGTGTGTATGTGTGCTATTTATTAGTGTATGCAAATTATAATGTGTGTAGAGTCCTAATTAGGGAAAAGGAGTCAGGCTGGTGGGAGCAGGGGAAAGAAAAAAAAAAAAAAGGCAAGTAAGCTACAAGTCAGCCTTTCTTCATGGTGCAGGACACATAGCCCTCCTGTGCAAATAACTCACAATCTCCCTGTGCCGGACTTATCACCAGACCTTCAGCTGATAGAAAAATGCAAGTTAGCACACTGCAACTTTGGTGCTATTAGTTCTGCACGTTAGCCCTCTTCAACACAAGCACTATCCTGTAAAACCCCCAACAAATCTGCCTTTATTTACCTGCAAGTGTCTTGGCAAATTCTTTTTACTACTGTTGCCACCAGCCTCAGACCCTCCCTACCCACACCATGAAGTCCCAAAAGAGATACAAAAATGTTCTGAGTTAGGACTCAGAGACAGTTTCTTCACTCAGAAAGCCATGAGAAATGTTTGCCACAAATTTTTTAAAAGCCATTAAACAAAACTGAGATATAATTAACAAACCAACAAATGCATAGCTCTTAAGCATTTTGCTTAATGCGTTTTGACAATAGTACACACCCATTTACAATTACCCAAAATGAGACACAGAACATTTCAGTCACCCTTGAACATGCCCTCATGTTTCCTTCAGGTCAATCTCTTTTCCCCAACCTCCAGCAACTATTCTGATTTCTATCACCACAGATTCATTTTTAACTGTTCTAGGATTTCATATGAAAGGAATAATACAATATATACTCTTTTTGTCTCTAGTTTTTAGCTTAACATGTTATTTGAAATCCACCATATTGCTGCATATGTAACAGTTCATTCTTTCTTAAGTCTGCTTAGGATACAGCATAAGGTTCATGATGATCAGCAGGATATGCGGTTGCACAGTTAAGACGGAGGCAGACAGTGGAGAATGCTACCCTATGTGGTAAACAACAGAAAACTTCTGAAGACTTTTGAATACGGGAGTGATCTGTATTTTAGAAATTAATCTGTGGGCAGCAGGAGAGACTGGAGAGGACAGGACAAGGAGGACCACTGAAGAAGCAGAATGAACGTTGTTAAAGTGCTGAAGGAAGGGTCATGGTTGCTTGCCCATACCCCATTTCTGAGCCTTCCTGACATGAGAACAGTGGTACCATTTTCAGAAATTAATGAGAAGGAAGAGCAGATTTGAAAGTGAAGATAAGAAATTCAGTTCTGGACATGATGAGTGTGAGGCATTGCTGAGTCATGCAGGTGGAGACAGTTTGCATTAATAGGTATTTGCAAATGCTGGAATAAAGCCCAATTAGATGACCGCTTTTAATTAAAAAGCGATTTTAAAAATTCTATAATGTCACAACCCTAACATCAATTTTCCTCATTTTTAATTGTGCTTACCTTATCTGTACCCACCTTACAAATGTAATCATAAAATACAGTCAAGTTCATTATTAGGTGATTTTTACTCACCACGAAGAATTTCTCTGTGCTTTCTTACAATCCCCAGTTTTGATATCCATGTACCAAATATGATAAAGGATCACCTTTTTAATAAATGATACCACCTTTTAACTGACTTTTTGATGTCTTAAGACTCATATTAGAGTCTTATACTTCTTGAAGTATAAAAATCTGTTATAAGATTACTTAATGACATGTAAAGATACACAGAGAAAAAAATGCAGTTTGATTCCATATTCTTAAATTATTATTTTTTGACACAATGTCTCAGTCTGTCACCCAGGCTGGAGTGCAGTGGTGTGATCTCAGCTCACTGCAACCTCCTCCTCCTGGGTTCAAACAATTCTCCCTGCCCCAGCCTTCCAAGTAGCTGGGATTACAGACGCCCGCCACCACACCCAGCTAATTTGTGTATTTTTTAGTAGAGATGGGGTTTTGCCATGTTGGCCAGGTTGGTCTTGCACTCCTGATCTCAGGTGATCCACCTGCCTCAGCCTCCCAAAGTGTTGGAATTACAGGCGTTAGCCACCGTGCCTGGCCATATACATACATATATACATACATATATATACATATATATATATATATATTTTTTTTTTTTTTGAGATGGTGTCTCGCTCTGTTGCCCAGGCTGGAGCGCCGTGGCGTGATCTCAGCTCACTGCAACCTCTGCATCCCAGGTTCAAGGGATTTTCCTGCCTCAGCCTCCTGAGTAGCTGGGATTACAGGTGCATGCCACCATGCCCAGCAAATGCTTGTATTTTAGTAGAGATGTGGTTTCACCATGTTGGTCAGGTTGGTCTCTAACTCCTGACCTTGTGATCTGTCCACCTCAGCCTCCCAAAGTGCTGGGAAAACAGGCGTGAGCCACTGAGTCTGGCCTGCCCATATTCTTTTTTTTGTTTTGTTTTGTTTTGTTTTTGTTTTTGTTTTTGAGACGGAGTTTCGCTCTTGTTACCCAGGCTGGAGAGCAATGGCGCAATCTTGGCTCACTGCAACCTCCGCCTCCTGGGGTTCAGGCAATTCTCCTGCCTCAGCCTCCCGAGTAGCTGGGATTACAGGCATGCGCCACCATGCCCAGCTCATTTTTTGTATTTTTAGTAGAGACGGGGTTTCACCGTGTTGACCAGGATGGTCTCGATCTTCTGACCTCGTGATCCACCCGCCTCAGCCTCCCAAAGTGCTGGGATTACAGGCTTGAGCCACCGTGCCCGGCTCCATATTCTTAAATTTTAAAAAATCTAAAATTTAGGCTGGGCAGGGTGGCTCATGCCTGTAATCCCAGCACTTTGGAAAGTCAAAGAGGGTAGATTGCCTGAGACCAGGAGTTTGAGACCAGCCTATGCAACATAGCAAAATCCTGTCTCTACAAAAACTATAAAAATTAGCTGGAGCTGGGAGCATACACCTGTAGTCCCAGCAACTCGGGAGGCTGAAGTGGGAGGATTACCTGAGCCTGGGAAGATGGAGGC